TCGAAGGTACCGGGGATGGATGGGGCTGTGGGAGGGAAAACCGGTCTGGAGACGTGTGACGCTGTTACCCCGCCCCCCGCCCCACATGCCCACCCTCGGACCTGGACCAGGCAGTTCCTCTCCCCATGTCCTCAGGGGAACTGCACAAAAAGACTCATGCAGGGAGGTTCATGGTCCTATTCATCATTTTAGCCCCAAACTGGAAACAACACAAGTTTCCATCAGTTGGTTTTGTTTAAGTTTTAGTTTAATAGATTTTTTAAAAAAGATTTTCATTTATTTATCAGAGAGAGAGAGAGACAGAGGCAGGCAGAGGGAGAAGCAGGCTTCCCGCAGAGCGGGGAGCCCGACGCGGGGCTCGATCCCAGGACCCCGGAACCATGACCCGAGCCGAAGGCAGACGCGTTAACGACTGAGCCACCCAGGCGCCCCTAAGTTTTAGTTTAAATTCCAGTTAACATACAGTGTTATGTTGGTTTCAGGTGTACGATATAGTGATCAAACACTTGCGTACCTCATCCTGCGCTCATCACGGCAGGTGCGCTCCTGAATCCCCATCACCAGCTTCCCCATCCCTCTGGTCACCAGCAGGGTGTTCTCTATGGTTAACAGTCTGTTTCTTGGTTTACGTCTCTCTCCCTCTTTTCCCTTTGCCTGTTTGTTCTGTTTCTTAAACTCCACCCACGAGATCAAACGGAGTTTGGCCTTCTCTGACCGACTTATTTCACTTAGTGTTGTATCCTCTGGATCCATCCATTGCTAACGGAAATCAGAAACAGTGAAGTCACCCGTGGGGGGGTCCTTGGCTGAGACCGGGTGCTAGGGGGCCTTCTGGGGCCTTCTGGTGAGGCCTGGTGTTGTCTGTCATGGCGCATAGTGGTCACACTCAAATCGTAGCCACACACGTATGGTTTGTGGCCTCTGTGGGATGTGTTAACACGTTCATGGGTATTTTTTTTTAATTTTATTTATTTATTTGACAGAGAGAGACACAGCGAGAGAGGGAACACAAGCAGGGGGAGTAGGAGAGGGAGAAGCAGGCCTCCCGCCGAGCAGGGAGCCCGATGCGGGGCCCGATCCCAGGACCCTGGGATCATGACCCGAGCCGAAGGCAGACGCTTAACGACTGAGCCACCGAGGCGCCCTACGTTCATGGGTAAAATGGACTACATTTGAAATCGGCCTAAGTAGCAACACACGTGACTGAAGAGAGACATAGAGAAAGATGCAATCAGGTGTTTTGCAGAAGGAAACGTGAAAAGCCAATTCAACACACAAACACAGCTCAGCTGTGTCGGTGGCCAGCAAGTGGCCACAGTGACCGGGTGGTGTCACTATGACACTGGCAGCGATGGGAGACCTGCCCGGGCCCGTCGTTGAGAGAACAGAGAACGTGCAGTGGAGGAAGCTGGGCAGGGCTGCGTGGGTGGGGAAGGTGCCATCGCCGTGGAGGCCGGTCGGGTTCACCTGGAGAAGTGCGGCGGGTGCCGGTGAGCTGAAGGGCCCAGCGGGCGGCCCCCCCAAGTTCCTGCCTCCGTGTGCGCACCCAGGCCTGGGCCCCACTTCCCGCAGCAGTTTCACAGCCACGTGCAGAGGGCGGATCTCAGAGCAGCAGAGTCCAGGAAGCAGAGTTGAGTCCCTGGAGCATCACCCCTGACGCGGGGCCTCCAGCACCGTCGCCGCCTGGACGTTGTTAGGGTGACGGTCATCCTTACGACCCACCAGAGTTCCAGTGTACCTTCCGGTGAGTCTCACATCTCAGGTGGAGGCAGCGGTTTCGGGGCCTCCTAGAAGGGTCCAGCTGCAGGGGCCCGACGCTCAGATCCATCCCGAAGGTGGACTCCAGGATTGGGGGAGGGCCCACAGAGCGGCTTGGTAAGCCCCCTGGCTCCCCATTTTTGGTTAAAATCAGACACTACCCTCATTGTCTGCCCTCCTGGTCCGTTAGCCACAGAGTCCGTGTGACAAGGCTGTCGCCTGCCGGGTGTGGTAAGCAGAGCTCCCGAGTGTTAGACCCGCTGGCCGGGCCTCCGCTCTGCCCGAATCCCACCCTGACACCCGCAAGGCTGGTTCCTTGGCAGCAACTCTGACAAGTCCCTCCTGGCCTAGGAGACAGTTACCGCCGAGCTGCTCAGTGACCCCAGGGCCCTGCCGTTGTCTTGAGCCCGAGGAGCGTCCTCTGGGGTCTCCTGGGGAACGTGGGCACTGGGGGGCTCCGGCCTCCCAGAACCCGTCCCAGCACGCTAGCGACCTCTGCCCTCCCGGGGAGGGGGTGCTGGCGCCAAGCACCGTCATCCTTATGCAGGGCCCCGTCCAGGTGTCCCTGCCGAGGCCCCCAGAGTGCTTCCACATCCTAGGCTCCCCGGGTCATGGGTTCTGCTCTCCTCCCTCTTGGGCCCAACTCCCTGGTTTCTGCCAGCACCGGTACCGGGACCTGTGAGGCAGCGCTGTCGTCCCGCCGCAGGGACTGTCCCTCCCCACGTGGGCGAGGCTGAAACTCACCCTAGTATTGCCCCGCCGGGGCGGGGGGGGGGGGCCGGACGAGGGGATATGCCATCCTGTGAGGCTGCAGGGGACCCGAGCGTGGCCCCCTGGCCACCGGAGATGCTCTTCTTCAGCCAGGGGGACGGAACCGGTCTGCCGGCCACTGGGGTCGGAGGGATCGGGGGGCATCTGGGCATCCGGCATTCTCGAGTCCCCGCCCCACATCTGAGTTCGTCTCAGGAGGCTGACTTGAGGTTGGAGGCCTTGCCTGCGAGCACACTTGCGGGCAGCTCCCGGACGGCCCGCCGGCACCGTGCCACCTCGACCTCGCTGGCGTCTCCAGAATCCCAGCGGCCTGCCCTGGAGGGCTGCCTCTGGCCCCGCTCACTTCGGTTTCCCTCCCCGGGAACAGGCCTTGAGTAAGGACTCCCGGTGCGGGCAGGTTGCGGGGGGAGGGCGGTGAGGAGGGGAAGGGGGAACCCGGACACGCAGGTGAAGAGCTGCCTGCTTACCGGCTGAGAAGCTGGCTCACACCAGGGGGGCCTGAGCAGCCGCAAACGACACTGCCCCAGAAGCTGACCCCTGAGCCCCCCGGGGTGTGGCTCCCCCCACCCCGCTGCATGCCAGCTGCTTGCGGCCTCAGGCCCCCAGATGCTGATGGATCCCAAGGCAGGAGGCTACGCGGCCAGCCCTCCGCTGGGTAACTGCAGCTGCTGACAAATGGGATGGGAGGATGCACACAAATCTTAGAAGCAGGAAAAAACAAAAGACATTACATGTAGGGAGCAAACAAAACAACAGAGGCCCGAGAACGGTGGAACTAGAAGTTTAATGTGCTCAGGGGTTAGGGAGAAATAGATTATTTTTTCCCTCACTATATCCTGTGAAAATATTCTCCAAAGATGAGACTGGGGAAAAAAATGCATATAAACCACTTTTTTTTTTTTTTTTAAAGAGAATTAAATACATTTATCAGGCAAACAAAAGGAGAGAATTCATCACCAGCCATGCGATGGCGGTATCGGGAGGCGATCAAGACTAGGTACGGTCATGAAGGTGGGGCCCTCAAGATGGGGTGGGGGCTGGTCACCCAGGGGCCGAGAGGGGCCCCGGATCGAAAGCCTCTCGTTGGCACCCCCATCTTACCCTCCCAGCCTCCAGAACCGTGAAGAACAAGGCTCTGGTGTTTGTAAGCCCCCAACACTCACGTGCCAGCCGCCGGGGCGAAGGCGAGCGACTGCTTAAATCACAGGAACTTTGTCGGGCTGACCACGTGTAGAAATCTGTGCCGACATGGCACGAAGCCTGGGGACATGAGGGGGACATCAGCTACCTTTTCCATTCTTCCAGACTTTCTGGATTTTATATATTGATAATTTTTTAGGCATTTTATGTTTCTCACTTATAAGCAACGTTATCAGTCTGACAATCCTTGCTTTATTTGGATCACTTGTTCATTTACATTTAATGTAATCAGTGCTGCGTTTGGGTGTAAATCCATTACCTTATTTGCTTTCCATTTCCCCAGCCTAGTCTGTATTAAATTTTTCTCCTTGAATTTTGGGTTATTTAAAATGATGCTCTAATATCCCCCGTTTATTAGCTTAATTATAGACCCTTTTATTCGTCAAGTGATGACTCTAGAGAAAACTTTGGGGTCTCACGTGGATTCGCTTTTCCTGTTCCTAGGCCATGCGCGGGTTCAGGGAACCGAGCGCCTCTCCAGCTGCTCATGTCCTGCCCCCATCTGTGGCCGCCGCCCGCTTGCCCTCCAGCGCTCTCCGTTCCTGCCGCTCCTCAGAGCTGCCTTCCTCGCCCTTTAGAATCTCCTTTAGTGCTGGTCTGCTGGTGATGCGTCATTTCCCACTTTTGCCTGAAAACGTCACTTTCATTCTTAAAGGGCGTTTTTGCGGCGTTCCGCCTTCTAGGGTGGTGGCTCCTTTCTCGCCCCACGTTAGCGTCTGCCGCCTTCCCACTGTGCCCACTGCCGTCAGGAAGTCCTCCTTGGGGTCTTACTACCGCTTCTTGCGAGGGAACTTGTCTTTTTTCTTTGCTTTCAAGTTTTCCCTTTGCCTTCGACTTTGAGCAGTTTTACTATTATTCTGAGGTGCGTTATTCGGTTTCTCATCCTGTTCCGGGTCCAGCTTTCCTGGTGGCTCCGCAGGACGGAGTTACAGGTGCATCCCTGTGGAAACCCCGGATCCGCACTTCATTTAGGAACTCGCCAGACACTATCTAAAGGACACTGTTGAGAACACGTGGCTTAACGTACTACTGACGCTCTCCTGATGATTTCTCCTTACATTCCTCATACCGTGTTCTGGAATAAACCAAAGGCACACTGCACTGATTCTGACGGAGTTCCCACTGGCCGCTTCCCTAACATCTATAGCCCCTTCCACCCCCGCTGCTCAGGCCTGGGCCTTACTTACCTTTGGGGCTGATGGTGTTGGCCCTAAGGCGGTTTCTAAACTTTGCTACAAACCATGTGCACCTGATAAGATATGCAAACAATATACAAATAATTGTTATTTATTTTGAATAAAAAAGTGACCAACATTCGAGATTACCCCACGTTTACAGAACATGGTGCCATGTGTGTGGCACTGGCCATCCCAGCAACGTGATTGGACTCTGAACACTAGAACCATATGAGCCATGGAGGGGTATCCAAAATGGGGAAAAGCGAAAAACCAGTTATCTTTCATTAACTGGAAAATTGGCCAACCAGCTAACTGGTAAAGAAACTGAGTACCTGTTACCTTTTTCTTTAGTGGTAACTCAAGTAAGATTGCCCCACGGGGCCGTGTACGGACACACGCACCCCCTCCAAAATCTCCATTTCATTTTTTCTATAATCTCCACTTCAAACGTTTTCCAGCAACCTTTGTCCTAAGTATTAAGTAAAAGCTCAGGACACTAGAGCAGGATCTTCAGGAAAAGAAGGCTAGATAGTGCTAAGGATATGGCATGGTCCGGTTCAACCCAGGACACTCCGTTCAAACCCAAGACAGAATCTGGCCCTCCTCGGGCAGGTCCTTAGTCTTTGTGGTTTTGAATGTGCTGGAAGAAGGGAGCCATGCTCCATCTTAAAGGTGGCAGGAAGTTACTCATTCTATGAATCGGGAGCACCTACTCTCTGCAAGGCACTTTACATTAGGTGCTGCAGGAGCTACCAAGATGAAGCAGACAGTTCCTGCCCTCGAGGAGCTTACAATCTAATAATGAGCACTATGTACATACAGTGCAGAGAAGCAGCCAACTTTACTGGAGGTGGGGTCTTCCAAGCAAAAGGTGTTCTTATTCTTAAAAGTTTTATTTAAACACCAAAAGTCTAAAACACACCACCTAATCAGATGGCAAGAATTAAGAAACTATCTCCTTTCTATACCTTAAGTTTTTAGACGCCCGTTCTTTTTATTAAAAAAAAAATGTCCTATGTAAACATACATATAATTCAAAGCTGAGCACAAAGATTAGCACAGGCATTGGGTAAACATAAAATATCACTATACACAACACACTTCGTTTTCTATACAGTCTTATTTCTGTATAAACAGGTTTGATATTCATGTTCCTTTCATAAAAGTACAAATCGGCGTCAAAGTCTTGAAAAAGACCTAATAATCCATTTTTGCTTTTCATTTTGCATTCGTACCAAAACCAAACTGCCCTAACCCCCACCAACCTGTTCGGCAAATGTGAAATGGATAAAGTAGGAAGTGCCTCAAAGCCGTCACCACCTCTTATGTGGTCCAGTCCGACCACCTGACAGGGTCTTTCTATGCAAGTAACAGGAGTTCACGATGGTGAGGTGAGCAAATTTTGACTAATCAACAAGATTTAGAGTTCTGCAATTTAAATCTTCCCCAACCCACTGACAACATTTCACCTGGACAGCCTACACCTTTATGCTGGCAGGAGAGCAACATCTTTCCTTTTTTTCAACTCCTGCCAAGCCTGGAATGAATGGCACCCCCAAGTTGGAAATTCATATAATATTGCTCTGAATAAGCTCACCGACTAGGACCTCAGACTATATTAAGACCCCCCCCCCCGGTATAATTATAACTCAAAAAATGCAAGATAAAAAAAGCTGAATCACCTAATCAGATGAAGAGGTTGGGGGAGAAAGACTAACTTCTTTATAGGATGTTTTTATAGTCATTCCCCCATTAAACTGATTGGTGTCCCCGGCAAGTTTTCAGAAACAGCCCTGTTCTAAAACAAAGGACATATGCAGATGGGAGGCTGCATCCCGTCTACCAGACTCAGCCTGGCTTCAAGTCCTGATACTGATTTTTATTAGCACCTTCGAAAGGAGCTCCCATCTTCTGAAAAACCCTGCTTTTTCATCAGGATAGTGATGCTACAGTACTTTAGATCATTAGAAGCAACTCTAGATTCTGCAAATTGGACCTAATTCAACTTAAGGAGAGTCAGATTTCACCTGCTCTGTAATCATTTTAAATAGCAGACATCATGTTAGATGTGAAGATCTTAACTCCAAGAACCTTTTTTAGCTTCAAGAAAGAGTAGTTCAAAGTTTACTATGAGATCTGAGACCCAGCCTTACTCTGCTTGAAGCTGCTGATAACTTGTGCTGATAATGAAAATGAAAACAATTCAGTTAGATATTTTAGAGGCATTTTTAAAACAGACAACCTGGAGGGGAAAGGTTCGATTCTCCAGACACCCTGTAGTCTTCCTGAACTGTTCAACTCCACCCACACAGGAAGGAAGCGTCTGAGCCTAACAGGATATTCATGACCCATTACTACGGGAGCCACACGGAGGCCCACCACAGTCCATGGTGGGCTAACTGAAGACATTGATTCCTCTGGCCATTGGCTGTTTTTGCTGCCCTGTCTCTAAAAAGCAAAAAGGGCAGGATCTACCTTTCCCTTAAAAAACAGGCTGGCCGACTTAACCAGCAGTTTTGCTTGTCAGGGACATTGTTGGCTTGGGGAGGGCGGCGGGTAGTGGTGAGGAACTACAATTTAGCAGACTTTGGCCCCAAAGGCCAGCCAGGAGTTACTGAGCACTCTGCCAGGGAAATAATTAAGAGTTCTGAAGAAAACTGGATATAATTTACCAAGTTAACAACCAACACTCTTACCATTAGAGAGAAAAATCACTGTGTGCTATCGTTTCTTTTAGGGAGACCTACTGTGTGATGTAATTTTTAGAAATTTTATCACTGATCTGTTCTTTCAAACATGAAATCTGCTAGCTCTGGACATGTCCTGAAGCTGAGAAGAGAAGAGGAAGGGAAATCAAGAGGACCTCACCAGGAAGGAAAAGCAAGAGAGAGCAGAGGGGTCAGGAGCGAGCAGGCTGAACAGGGCCTGGGATGGTAATCTTGGTTTCATTCCAGGAGCTGCGGTAATTCACCAAACTCTGAAGCAGTTTAGCCGCCAGGGGGGCAGGTATTTTGTAAAACCAGCACTGTGTTCCTCTTAACAAGCACCAATAAGCACCAACTTCTGCTTCTTAGCTGATAGCGTTGTAATTACAACAGAAAATATTTTTATATTTATTACCCTTTAACGTTCCTTTCACCTAATTAACCTGTGACACTCGCGAATAGGTCCAACCCACATGCTTCCGCATTAACATCCCCAAAACCTTCTTAGAAGCAGAAAGATGTCACACTCAACCACAAGCTTTGCCAGTGGTTCTAATAACTCCTGACACTGAAAAACAATTGGTAGTTTTGGCAGATGTAATAGTAGGTAGAGACTGCTTGAAGTCTGGGTGGTGGACAAATGAGGATTTCAGAATGCATATCAAGCATAACAAGCTATCAATTTCTTATCTGGAGTAATGGGGACAAATTAACCCCAGAGAAAGTGTGATACAGGTGTGGATATCAGAGTCCCCGAATGCAACCGTGTTGTAGCTGAAAAGGTCTAATTGCTTACAGTCTTTGCTCCCGACGGCAGTGCGGCAACTCGGCCACTACCATTTCTGCCGCCTCTGAAACCGTTCTTACAGTGACAGCCGAGATAAACTTGAAATCCACGAAACAGATCAGGCACATTTTAGGAAGCGTGGAGGGCATGACAAGTTTAAGCCTGGAGAGGCAGCGAGCCGGAAGATTCCAGGTGTCACCCCTGCTTTCCCAAAGTCCCACTGACTAGCACTCCGTCATCAGGTGCACGGCCCCTTAGTGAAATCAGAAGCCGGCTGTGTGTACGATGTTGCCATGCACGAGGAGGGCGGGCGGGAGAAGGGGGAGGCCTCCCCGCTGCGGGCACAGAAACTCAGGCTGAGGTGTTGGGTGGATTTCAGAGTCTGAAGAATGCCTAGCCCCATGCAGAGAGAAGCCATGTTCTAGTAAAACAGTTGCCATGTTTATTCCTACAGAGACATACAAAATAATTCGGGAGATCCATTTAGTTAACTGCCAAGAGGTACAGTTCCCCAAAAATGTACAACTGCTCTAAATAAGAACTTAATGTAAGTTTTAAATGGCAGCAGCACAAAATTCCCCAATAAGAACAACTCAAACACTGACCCTGATTAGGAACAAAGAATAAGTGACACTAAGCATCCCATGATTAGGAAACTGTCATAAACCCTTGACATGATCTCCACGTTTACTGTCGTGGTTCCTGTGATGTGAGCAAGGGCAACCATACAACCTCGGAGCTGTGCTGCTCATGATTCTAATGCCGCCCGCCCCTTTCTTGAAAATCAATTTAACGTGCTGGGCCCTAGAATCTGGGTCAACACTATTCTCGAAATGACCGAGATGAGAAAGATAAGCAGAAGACTCCAACAAATACAGAATTAAACACAGAAGACAACACACAATTTGAATAGGAAACAGAAGACATTTCAGGGCAGGCTGTTCGGAGGCGCCTCTGAAGGGCTCTCAGCGCCGGTGCCTGCGAACCTGCGAACACAGCGGCCTGTGCTTGTGTCTGAGTGTCTTGTCCACGTAGCCAATGTTTCTAAAGCAAGGACAAAACGTCTTTCACTGAGAAATCACAACAAAGGCAGGAATAAATGTTGGAATAAAGGCAAAACAGACAGCATGTAACAGGAGTGAGAATTTCACATTTTATACTTCCCATCCTACTTCCCAGAAGTATGCAGCACAGTCCTGTTGAATAGCACCAATCCCTAGGACACTTATTTTCGCAATCCAAGAACACTATAATTCCTGAATGTCCATTTTTAATTTTAGATTTTAAGACCAATTAATGTCTAACATCTCCTCTTAAAAGCCCACAGGAAAATCCTGTACTATAAACATCAAGGACCCTTGCTGAGAAATTCCCAGGCTCTCGTCAACGGAGCCACACACACCTGTGGCACCGGACCACAAGCACCTACGTGCTTGGGCTGCCCATCCCTTTCTGTAAGTTTTCTGGAAGTCTCTAGATGGACTGCACGTTCTTATAGAGGATACAAATGAAATGTCTGGACATGTCAACATTAAAAACACTAAAAGTTTTAGGGAGAAAATATTCTTTTTCTTCTATGTACAAATATCTCATCTGGGCTATGACAGTCAGTCGGAAGCAGGGAGGTGACACGGGTGAACGGGAACCCCCGACATCCTGGACATATTAAGGAGTTAGGACTGGAAATCTGATAATGTGGGAGCTCATCAAAAATAACTCACAGTTATTTACTTACGAGAATCACCTGATCTTTTGACACATTAAAACCAACTTCAGTCTTGGCCTCAACCTCTTAAATATACAGTTTTACGAACATGTTTTCAGTATGCAGGAGAAATAAGAATCCGTGGGATACAGATCTGGGGCTATCCGTGGAGAACCAAGTATCAGGACCAAGCGCTGTTTTATACACTCGGAATGTCTGGGGGCACACCGAACACCAGTGACAGGTGATTTACACTCTGGGGAGCCACAAGGCAGTTCCAGATCAAGGCAAGCATTAAAGTCTAACTCGGTCCAGCAAGGCCCTTAGCCCAACTCTCTAGAAGAGATCATTCTGTTCCCAGAAATGATAGGGCATTCTTTTTGTTCAAGTTGCTTCAGTCAGAACACTTGAAAAATAAGTGTTCCTCACTGGGTAAGGAGTGGGGGGCTAGTGTTCCTCTCAAAATGACTTACAGTCTCTGCACCCAGTCGTTTTAAAGATCTCCTTTAGTCCCTGGAGATGGAGACTGTACTTCAGAAATGAGTTCCCAGGGCCCTATTTACACTCCTGAAGAGGGCCTTCCCACTTGAAGGCCAGGCTTAGCCAGTGCATCCCACGTCTTCGGGCCACAGGGTATTTCCGCAACAGAGCACGCGCCCTTTCTAGCTCCCCACCACTGACGTTCAGAAGACAGGAGAATCGCAGAAAGGGCAGGGGCTTTGCAGTAACCTCTTAATCCAGTCAGGATCTGTGAGAGGAAGACAAGTGGCATTAGGTGTCAGCTTCAGAGAAGGCAGGCAGATGCGCTGAGCCCTGGCTGGGCTGCCACATAAAGGGACAGGCACCTGGGTCTGGCTCTGTGTTCTCAAAGCACTCACTCCCATGTTCCAGACAAGGCTGGACTGAATCTGTGCTTCCCAAAGCTATGTGTGTGATGACATTTTCATCCCTCTGTGAGGGAACAGGAACATAAGGGTCATGAATCAGTGATTCATAAAGTTCAATTTATTCAGCTGAAAGGACTACGCTCTGTTCTGAGAGGATATCCTTTGTACACTATTAATGTGAAAATACTCTTTTATAAGATTACAGTAATGGTAATTTTTTAAATGCATGACTTGGAGCAGAACGTGAGTATACTGGGTCGACACCTTCTCCCCTTTAGGAAACACCCCCGTCTGTGAGTACCCTGTCCTACGACTGCCCTCCAGACCCCAAAGATTCTCTTCTCCCCCAAAACTGTCTGTAGTTCAACTCGAAGTCAATTGGCAGATGTGTTTCCTTGATTTGTCTCGATCTTTTCCTGATTTCCTGTCTAAATAGCATACCGACTCTCAATTGCAGTGTTTAGGTATTCCCCAAATTTGTTTCAAAATAATGCAGTAAGAGGAGGAAAGTGAGTGGGGGACTATGGACAAAAACTAAAAGGCCATGAGCTTACAATGGCTGAAGTTGAATGACGGGCATATAAGGGTTTTTACACTCTTTTCTCTACTTTTGTATGTGATTGCATTTTCCATGGTAACAAGTTAGAACACAAGCTGCCAACACTGACTTCTCAGAACGAGACAGCTTCAGCTAATTTAGAGTAAAAATAAAAAAAGGGTGCAGAGTTTTATGTGAAATGTTTTCTATTTTAGTTCATCGAGACCACAAATTTCCCCCAAACATGTCGTTAGCTCATTTGGTTGGGGTGCGATGTGACTGAGCCTCAGGTCATGAATCTGACGTTTGTGTGACTATTTAAGTCACTAACTCCTGGCTCGTGTCTATGATCTTATTTCAAACTCATCATGTCAGAAATGTGGGCTCTGTCACTGGAGCTATCAGGAAAGAGAATATAGACCAATCCGAAAAATCCCATTGTGGCTACTGGAAGAATGACCCCAAGTGCATATGCAAATATTCTGGCTTAGCAAGGCTATCCTTGTATACCTTATAATTTGCAGAATTTCCGTCCAAATATAATCTCTATCTGCCATCTAAAACAAGCTCTGACATTTTCTTGAACGATCTGTCTTCAGGGACAAAAGAGCAAACCGCTGCCCTCCTTATGCACTAAGATGCAATGTGTATTTTCACATGACCTATTCCAATTCTCATTTTTTAATGAGTTGTGGCTTTATGATCATACTGTCAAGAGCAGAATGAGCCTGCGGATGGTCCCCAATGGCCTCAGACGAAGCAGGGTGGAGCCCGGCCCTCCTGAGGCTGGGAAAGCACTCACCATCAGGAGCTGGATGGCGGGCGATGCTGTCGTGGAGCAAACACCTTCTGTATATCAAACTCTGGCAGGATTGGTAGGTTAAAAAGCACCTGAGAGAAGACAGACTGTATCATCAGGAGGAAGCCACAGATGGGTACTACCAAACCATACACTAACCAGGAAAGCACAGAAATAGTTCTCAAGCCCATGGCAACAGTGTATCCCTCTGCGCAAAGCTGGCCAGACCTAGCCCACGCTTAGAAAGGGGCCGGCTGCTGAGCCAAGAGATACAAAGCTTCCAATCCAGTCACTGCAACTTCTTTTTTGGCCATTTGCAAGTCTGAGAAAGAGTTTATTCTGTCCATGCTTTGAGTTTTTGACATGTTAAAAAAGATGAACATGTATTCTATGGAAAATTATTCTTGTATGTGATTTTGAAGATGAGGTATAAGCACTATCTTTAAGAGTCTGACAGTACAGTGGGAAAACCTGAAAGATATGGAAGACAAAATTAACGGTGCCAAATGAGACGGGACATGAACAAACGTCCACAGGCTCAGCTCCGTCCTGTGACCACTCACCACTGGGCACCCACCAGGACCAGGCTAGTGAGGGAAGGTGAGATGCTAGGAGATGGCAGAGAGTGCACTGTGGGTTGTGTAGGTAAGGTTTCCCAAAAGATCACAGTTTTTCAGCTGAGTCACTAAGGAGCAGAGAAATACAGAGAGGAAGGGGGTGGGGGGGAAAGAATCCAAGTAGGATCACCTCAAGTAAAGACCTGGGTATGCAGAAGAAAGGCTATACCTGAGTGAGAGCAAGCACCCATTCTCACATGGAGAAATTATACTGAGACATTCTGGCACTAACTCCCTCCAGCAAACACGAAGACATTTCTGTGAAAGAACCCGTCGAGAGACAACGATGCATAGTGGTGACACATGGGAACTCTGGAGCCGGACTGCCAGGTGCTCAGCTCTGCCAATCACCATCTATATGACTCTGGGCAAATTATTCATCTCCCCCAGGCCCCACTTTCCTCACCTGTAAAAACAGAAATCATCGCAGTGCCCCCATGCATGCTTGTTGTGCTCAACAGATGTTAGATGTTATTACTACAAGCCTACTACTACTACAAACTTGCTTCCCATTCTTCCCCTAAAAATCAAATTAGAAAAAAGCATAAGAACACAGTAAAAATCAGAAGAAATCCAAATATCTATCAATAAGGAAGTAAATAACAGAACATCTATACTGTGAAAACCTCTATAGCCATTAAAAATGGGACCTGGGGGCACTTGGTGACTCAGTTGGTTGAGCATCTGACTTGATTTTGATTCAGGTCATGATCGCAGGCTCACGGCACCCAGCCCTGCATCGGGCTCCATGCTCAGCAGGCAGTCTGCTTGAGATTCCCTCTCTCCCTCTGCTACTGACCCTGTTCACACCATGCCCCTCTAAAATAAATCAATCTTAAAAAGGGGGGGGGATCTATGTAGTAATGTGAAAAAAAATGTCCACAATATTTTGAGAAGAGAATTGTCAAGTTGTTAAGATAGGATGTGTGGTAGGGTGTCTGGGTGGCTCAGTCAGTTGAGTGGCCGACTCTTGATTTCGGCTCAGGTCATCATCTCAGGATCCTGGGACTGAGCCCCAGGTCAGGCTCTGCGCTCAGCATGAAGTCTGCTTGAAGATTCTCTCTCTCTCTCTCTGTCCCTCTGCCTCTCCCCCTGCTTGCATGCTTGCTCTTTTGAATAAATCTTAAAAAAAAATAAAAGATAGGATGTGTAGCACAATTCTGTTTCTGTTAAAAATAAATTTAAAATATTAAATGGGTGGGGACACCTGGGTGGCACAGTCAGTTGGGCATCTGGCTCTTGGTTTTGGCTCAGGTTGTGATCTCAGGGTCGTGAGACTGAGCTGAGTCGGGCTCTGCACTGACCGCAGAGTCTGCTTGGGTTTCTCTCTCCCTCTACCCCTCCCACTGAGTGCATGCACTCTCTCTAAAATAAATATTTTTAAAAAATTAAATGGTGCCTACCATGAACCAGGCATTGTTCTAGGAATAGCTGTGAACAAAACAAGAAAATTCCCTGTCCCCATGGAGCTTTCTCCTCCAGAGGAGACGGAGAAACAAAAAGTAAAACACAGGAGTGGTGATGGCTGCGTGGGAGGCCGATAAGGCAAGGAAAAGCAACGAGAAACACTGGGAGGGCAGGGGATGCAGCAGGGTGTTACAGCTCTAGCTCTAGCATGGCCACGAAGGAAGGCCTAACCGATAAAGGGACATTGAGGAAGCCATGTGGACACCTGCTGGGAGAGCAATCCAGGAAGACACCCTGAAGTAGGAGGGGTGTACCTGAGGAACAATGAGGCCAGTGTGCTGAGAGTGAAGTAAGCAAGGTGGAGAAACATAGGAGATGAGATCAGAACGGGGATGGGGGCCAGGTTGTGTAGCTCTGTGAAAAAATCACTAAAGGGATTTTGGCTTTTACTCATCAGAAATGGGCAGCCTCTGCAGAGTTCTGAGCAGAGAGGGGTGGAATGGATGAAGCCTTAACAGGACCACAATTGTGGCCACGTTGTGTACAGACTGGAAGGGGCAAGGAAGGCAGGAGCACCTGTGGGGAGGGAACTATAATAATTTGGGCAAGAGAAGATAGTGTCTCGCATGAGGACTACAGAGGTGGAGGCAGCAAGAAAAGGCTGGATTCAAATTTGAAATGCCTATTAATCTTCCAAGCAGAGACACTGAACTGGGGGTCAGACATAAAAGTCTGGATTTAAGGGTAGAGAGGTTCAGGCTAAAGCTATCCATTTAAGCCACCAGCATACAGATATGTGACTGCCAAGGAAGTACTGACAAAAGAAAAACAGGTTCAAGATGGAAATCAAGGAGATGAAAGAGAATCAGCAAAGACAACGGAGGAGGAGGTAGAGGCAGGGAGAAAACCAGGGGCACTGTGTGTGGGAAGCCAGGAGATCACGGGGCTTCAAGGAAGAAGGGGGGAGTGATCACCGGTGTCAAAGGCAGCTCATAGGTCCGTAAGATGTGAGCACCCCAAGATGCCCCCTTACAGTGAGGCAGGACAGCGGGAGAAGGATGACCTCCACCTTAAAGCAAAAAAAGTGCATTTGCTCTTCTTTTATATTCCACTAGCTTAAACAGACACTACCTTTGTAATAATTTTTAAAAATTTAATGCTACCCCAAAGGAAAACAGTATTACCAAAATAAAGAAATCCCTCTTGGGGCACCTCAGTTGGCTGAGTCGGTTAAATGTCTGCCTTCAGCTCAGGTTGTGATCTCAGGGTCCTGGGATCGAGCCCCACATCGGGTTCCCTGCTCAGTGGGGAGTCTGTTTCTCCCTCTCTCCACTCATGCTCTCTCAAATAAAATCTTAAAAAAAAAAACAAAAAAAGAGCCCAAACTCAACCAATAAAAAAAAAAACAAACGCCTCTTTAAAGACTGTCCTGCCTTAGGGCGCCTGGGTGGCTCAGTTGGTTAAGCAACTGCTTTCGGCTCAGGTCATGATCCTGGAGTCCCAGAATCGAGCCCCGCATCGGGCTCCCTGCTCGGCAGGGAGTCTGCTTCTCCCTCTGACCCTCCCCCCTCTCATGCTCTCTATCTCATTCTCTCTCTCAAATAAATAAATAAAATTAAAAAAAAGAAAAAGAGTATCCTGCCTTAAGTCAGACTGATAAAGTCTACATCTTGCTTTTTAATAGCAGCTTTTCTCCAACCTAGTGGCATGGGCAACATATATTTTGGATAAACACTTTACAGGGGCTTGTGCTACACAAAATTGGAAAATGAGCAAAAGCAGGGTCTGGCTTAAAATGGCTTACCGGAGCCAAATGTGGCCATTGGAGCAGACGGCCTGTTTGCGATCTGTGAATGGCAAGATCTCTTTACACAAACTACAGTGCTCAGGGAAAGTCTGTTTGTTCATCTTCTTTGAGATGTGTCCAATCAGCACCTAGAGAGACAGAGCAGTAGCAACGTTCAGCGGTTTGAGTGCGAGACTTCCCACAGACAAAGCCTCCTGACACGATGGAGGGATGAAAGTGTATGCCGTGTCGTACACAAGCCAGGAGATTTGCATTTCCACGTAGGCTGGTCATACTGTCTGGACACAACAAAGCTAGACCCTCACCGTGTGTCGACTGGCTGAGTAGGATAAATTCATTCAGTGACCCTGTGACAACACAGTGAACCCCAACCACTAAAGGAAAAACTGGTCTGAAAACCAAAATCTTATCACTTGCCTTGTTTTAGCAGCTCCTGAAACATGGAGTTCAGAGTTCTGTTGGAAAACAAAGTATTTAGCTCTTCTTTATAACGTATTGACCTTAAGAAGGAAAAGCATCATCTCTATGGGCCAAGTATTATGTGAAATATTAACTTTGTAGAATTGTACAAATGTCCGTTGTTTAAGAGAGGCTTACAAAGTACAAATATAATCAGGATTAAAAAAGAAAATTTCCCTTTCTGATAGCTCCAAGACCCACGACCAATCTAGCCTAGCAGCCTGCAGCCTGCGATCCACTGAGCCCCACTGCAGAAGCCGGGTGGGCCCCAACGTGGCAGTGAGGAGTGGTAAAAAGAGAGGTTGACAGGGTGGGCTCTAGACCCTGACCTTACTTCAGCTTTGCTTTTCTCTGCTTTATTAGGATTACACCACTTTAAAAACGAAAGTCTAAAAAACGTTGATCTACTTCATTATTTTGTTGAAAAAAACCTTCACTGGCTACATCATTTGGAGGCATGGGATACACCAAGCCTTAAGAACTCTCATCTTAAAAAAACAAACAAACAAAAAAAACAACTGTCATCTTACTAGGAGATAATGTCCTTCGAGGTTTTTAATCCATTTATACTTAAGTTCTTGTGAAAGAACTCTCTACTTCAACCATTCACTAAAATTAGTTCACTGAAGTTTTGAAGGTATCTTAATAGCTCAGAAGAGTGTCTTACCTACACTGTATATAATTTACAAACCTAAAGCCCATTGGCTTTTGGCTTTTTGTTTTTTTAGTCTTAAGAATTCTAATTTATGGTCCCTTCCAGCAGGGATTTCGCCATGACAAAATCTGCTTCGAATTCCTTCAGGAGAGATGCACTAAAATTTTACATGAGGAAGAACTGCTTCTATGTGCTCTCAACAGCCTCAACCATGCAGATCCACCTGTGTTAGTGTAATTCACACATCCCCAAAGGGGGAGACATTATTCCTTCCAAGGGGCAAATACTGGTTCTTGGGGGGACAAAAATTCTTACCCTTTTAAGGCATAAAGTGCATTTAAGTATATATCTATCACAAATATATACAAAATATAGCTGCGTTATTATTAGAATGTCACAGACAGGAACAATTAGGAAAAAAATGCCTAAAAACACTGGGGGGGTAAGTGGGGGGGCAGTGGTGGCGATAATAAAAACTGTTGGTCTAACTTCACCAACACACCAGGCTGAGAATCTCAGAAACAATTCATAATTACTAGTACATCAACGCACTAGGTTTGAAAAGGTTCATTTTATGCATAGTGGGACTTTTTAAAACATGAAATGCAGTGTTTCTAATCAAAACTCGGTTATATCGATAAGTGGAGGTACCATCTTCCCTTCTTTAAAGTAGCTCTGCCGGAGCCCTGTCACTATGCTGGTGGTTCCCACGCTCATGCCACACATGGACAAGTACCTAAACCATTCCCGCCAGCTCCCACCACATATTTCCTAAAATGTTTTGTCAATCTTCCACTGACTCTTGTAATATTCCTGCTAGGTCCTGTGAAACAGTGACCACCAGGAAAACTCTTCTGCAAGATTCAGACCACAATGAAACAATTTTTAAAAGCTGACTTTCAAAGATGAAAAGTCAGTTACATGAAAAGGACATCGTAACTATTCTTGAGATTACTGCAAATATCCTGTGAGTAATGATTTTAGGGGTGGACACGTGGACACACACACACACACACACACACACACAAATTTTCCAATAAGAAAATGCAACAAGGAATTTGTGAGTGGTTTAACATTAGGCACGGTGGTATTTTAATTTATTACCTTCAATTTTAAGTAAGACTCTAGGCAGTGAGAATAAGTGCCATAACAGTAAAAAGGAACACGGGCTTTTGTGGTTTTGAGTATTTTAGTATAAACTATGTTCCTTGCAACACAAGATCTTCAGGATTTTTTTATTTTTATTTTTTTGTTGTTGTTCTTCAGGATTTTAGCAGCTGTTAGTTCACAAAGAAAGGTTCCCTGATATCAGGATAACAACGAGCTACATAAAGTTAAATGGTGTCTTTTCTGCAGGATTTCTCAGAATCCTTAGAAGGATAAGGGACACTGGGAACCTCTAAGAGGAAGACAGAGTATACAGCATTTCCTCAAGCTCGGAACCCTAGTGTTCTATCAGGGAACTTGAATTGTGTGGAATACATTTTGGATAAGACTCTAAGATGCTTCTAAATCAAAATAAAGATTATGCCCAGTTTTGTAAAACCTTATGAGTAATAATTTGCTTTCTTTAACATGCCCTCCCTGACTACATAAAAAGATCTCAACTCCTCCCAAGTGTGACCAATCCCTGTGCTACCGCCAATCCCCATTCTCCCAGAACCTTCTGCAAAAAGGAAGGGAATAAAGCACAGTGTCACCCTACCCCTGCTGTGACCACCCAATCACATACTACTTGCTAAGTGAAGCCTCCTCCGGCTCATCCACGGCCTGGGGAATCTCAGCCCATAAACATTGCCTATCAATAAAGGCCACGGTGAGAGGAAGAATCGAAATATTCTTTGTGTGATTTAAATGTGTCCTCTGCATTAATCCATGTTTCCTATTTATTCTCCTGCACCTCATGCCAATCAACTACCTACAAAATATCAAAGCAAAAGTTGGGTTAGGAATGCCACTTAGACCATTTCTCCCACATGAAGGAAGCAGACCTTTTACAGTTTTAGTGTTTTCTGGTAAGAAAATACCTACCCGTGCTGTTCGGTCATCATACTCCTCATCAGACATCAGGAAGTTACAGAGGCCCCTGGTGGGGATGCTAGTGTTCTCTGTGATCCAGGTGTGGAGGTACACCTCCCCTAAGACTCGCTTCATGTGCTCCCTGGTCAAATGCATTTCCACAGCTTCGATTTTCCCTTGGATCTCCAGGAGCTTCTCTTCCATTGGCTCACGGCCCCCGGCATCTCCAGCCTGGGTCAGGGAATCGTCGGTGGGGTCCTCCGGGTCGCCCTCTCTGCTCCGCTCCTGCAGGCCCTGCCTATTCGCCTGTTTGGAAGACGTGCCTTCCTCTTGCTGTTCTTCCTCGGCATTGCCCATTCCAGGGGAGTCAACTAATAAGATTTTGGAGTCCTCATGGGTGGGTTTCCATAATGCTTCTGAAGGGGTTTTCTGCATTGACTGATATAAAATCCTCAGGAGGAAAAGTTTGAAACGCCAAAAATAGGTGGCCCCGCTGCTTTCAATCTTTTTTTCCAAAGCTTCTTGTAAAAATTGAGGGATATGTTTATCTTTTAAAATCTTCCAGCGTACAAGATCTATTAAATCTACCTGCTTGAAGAGATTTTGAACTGAAGATTCCAGGAGCTGAGCAGCTGCCTCTTCAAAGGTTTTGAGAGTAACAAATTGGACCTGGTGGTTTTTGTTCACAGGATGGAGGCCGTTGACCATGCCCTCAGTTGTAATGACGGCCAGATATGCGCCGCAGGGGCTCACTGCTATCCCGTGTGTCCTCACTGAGCCAAACACATCTGAGAGTTTAATTAACTGGTGTTCAAACTTTAATGCGACATCAGTGAAAATGGGAATCAGCTGCCTCACCTTCCCATCACTGGAACAAGTATATACTGTTCCATTCTGCTTGTCTGCAGTCATGGAGACAATCGGCAGTGAGTGAAGGCCTGTGACATGGGAATTGTGGACATTGAGACCTGCTTTGGAGATCAGAAGAAGACACCAAAACACATAGGATCCTCTTGCAGCCACCACTAAGCTACAACTACACTTCTGGTAAGGGTGATAAAGCGGAACACATTTAATGCTGTGCACTGGCAACTGGTCCATTTCTTTCCACAAGACAACGGGCTGCCTTAAAGTGAAATAGCCTTTCACTGCTTTGAGATTGACAGGAAGAATTTTTACAGGTCCAAAAGCACTCCCCACAATAAGGCCGCTCATTTTCCGATTATTGTGCTCATATTCCCACCAAAACAGAACACTAGGAGAGCTGATTCCTGACTCAATCGTGTTGCAGGAAGAGATGGATTCCTTCCCTACAAAGGGCAGCTGGAACTGCCACACGGCAATGTTGCCGTTCTCAAGGAGGACCGCCAGGAGCACACTGCCCACGTCCCGGCACTCGTTGTTATGCTTGACCTGCTGAGTGGTACAGATGCCCGACCACTCCATCCTGACCGGCGTCTGCATGCTGTGTCTCCTCTGGAACTCCGCGAAGTCCCCGAGGTTCCCCTCTGGAGCCTCATTTTTAGAGAGCCTGTAACTGGTCTCGTAAAGACGTTCTCCATAAATCTCAGTCAGATCAACCAGCTGGACCCACTGTAGTCTGTTGAGGTTAGCCTGGATGGTCAGGCGATTGTCCATGGTCAGTGCTGCCAAGAGGCACCTGCCATTTGCATCGCAACCCATGGGCGACCAGCTAGTATACTTGAATCCCCTCATCGGTGGCAATGCCTTTCCCTCCGGGTTGAACACCCTATCCAACATGAAAGTCTGACTGACTGTGGGGTCTTTCGAGGTGGCAAATTTCTCCTTACACTCAGCAACTTCTGCTTTTGAGCCAACCTGAAAAGAAGAGATACGAAAACTATCAGATAAATATTGCACTCTAAGAGGAATACATTCACATTACTTAGGGTACTAACTGATTAATCAGTATTAACTGGGTCAGAATTTTGTATCAATCCTGTTAATTTTGAAAGACACGCATTTAAAAGATCAAGTACATGTCTGAAAGTTAAGGAGTACTTACTCAGAAAGTAAAAATTTTTTCAAGGATCAGAATAAATGTTGCCATTATTCAAAGCCTGGTTCCCACACTCTTCTTAGAACTGCCATAAGCAATAGCCATGACAGAGATGTACTTGATCCTTCAGAGTCAACAGAGCATTTAGCTAAACTAGTCACAAAACCATAAACATGTTAAGTATTCATTAAAACACATACCCATACACATCTTTGATACAATTGGATATTTGGATTTTTACAAGATCTTTGTGATACAAATGTGAGCTTTAAGTTTCTATTTAAAATTTCACTTAGAAACTATGCTGAAAGCCAACTTCCAACTGCTCTGTCCACTGTTTCTATAGAATAATGTCCACTCTGATTAGACTACTTGCCATTCCTTGAGTCCCTTGGGCCCCTTGTCTGGAATGCTGTCTTCCTATTTAAATCCCATCCATCCTACCAGGTCTAATTCTCTCTCTGAAGCCTTCTGAGATCTTTCTGGCTTTCGCCCATCTCTCCCTTCTCCAAGTTTGTGACACATATCAGCACTGCTATTTATTTAGTGCCTGGCTGTACAATGGCAAGCTCTTTAAAAAGATTTTAAAGGGAAATTAAAGACAAAGAATGAGATAAATGACCAAAAGAAAGAGATCCAGAACCAGGAAGGCTAAAGCCAAAACAAAGCAGAAGTCAACTGAAGTATGTCTTCTGATATGTACGAAGCAGGAAGAGGAAAGCACTTGACCCTACTGTCTTTAGAGATATTGATCCAAAGAAAGAAAGCAGAATCTTTCAGATTTAGTGACAATCTCCTTTTACGTAGAGGCTGATCTTCAAACTGGAAAGGATAGTTATTACATGATTACAAAGGAATTCAAGCCTAAGACATATATGGATATAATAAAACTCACGCTAAATGAGTTTAAGTCCCCAAACCCAGAGGAATTACACTCCAGGACACAGGATAAACTTTGAAGATGCTGAACTCCAAACGACTAACTAGTCCTTGATAAAGCTTGGATAACTGGGAATGTATCAGAAAACCAGAATACAATAGTTTTAAAATATCCCCTAAATGGGGGATATTTTATATGGCTCAGTTCATTTTTAATGGTTGAGTTGTTGAGTGTCTGTCTTCGGCTCAGGTCATGATCCCAGGGTCCTGGGATGGAGCCCCGCATCGGGCTCCCTGCTCTGCGGGAAGCCTGCTTCTCCCCTCCCACTCCCCCACTTGTGTTCCCTCTCTCAGTGTCTCTCTCTGTCAAATTAAAAAGAAAAAAATTTTTTTTGAATATCCCCTAAACGAAAAATAGGTAACAAATATTACAGACCATTAAGCCTGCTAGGAAATAAAATCCCTCAGTTGTTAACAATGAAAGGTTTGTGTAGTGCCTGGGTGGCTCAGTTGGTTAGGTGTCTGACTCTAGTTTCGGCTCAGGTCATGGCCTCATGGGTTGTAGGATTGAGTCTCATGTTGGGCTCTGTGCTCAGCAGGGAGTCTACTTGGGATTCTCTCTCTCTCTCTCTCTCTCTCTCTCTCCTTCTCCCCCTGCATGGTCGCATGCGCTCTCTCTCTCTTTCTCTCTATTTTAGGAAGAGAGAGCATGAGTGTGTGGGGGGGGGGGCGGTGCAGAGGGAAAGGGATAAACAGACTCCCACTGAGTAGGGAGCCTGGAGCCAGATGCCAGGCTAGATCCCAGGACCCTGGGATCATGACCTGAGCTGAAGGCAGATGCTTAACTGACAGAGCCACCCAGGCGCTCCTAAACAAATAAATCTTAAGAGAAAGAAAAAGAAACATTTGTGTGGATAGAAGTGATCATTAGAAACCAGCATAGGATAATCGGAAAAATCTAATCTTACTCTCCTTTCTGCTGAAACTGCTAAATGACATAATAAGCATAGAAAAGTAGATATAAAGTTATCCAACAAATGAATGAGATGACTAACTTTTCCTAAAGTGTGTTACACAGAATACTACTCCCCTAAATTGTCTCTTGAAAAAGAGTTCTGTGGCCAAATAAGTCTTGGGAACGTTGTATGTTACACATCATTTCTCCTTGAAGGGTCTCAGGAACACATTAAATGCCTTGGCCAGGGAGCTGCTGACTTAACCAAGAGTTTTCCAAACTTTTTTTATTTTAAAACCATAGAACCTTGTTGGGTAGTGTCATCCTATATTATCCTAAAGAATACTCTGAAAATGGTGTCTTAGGCAGTATATCTTGATATAGAAAGGCATTTAAGGTAGCCTCTTGGATATGCTAATGGACATGCTGGAGAAAAACAGACTGGAAAGCCCAACTAAACAGAGGTGCAGCTGGCTAGCCTGTTAATAAAATAATGCTAATCAAAGCCCAGAGCTTTGTATGGGTAGATAAGATTTGAAATATGACAGAATGAAGCACAGCATAACACCTGAAAATCTGTGCTATGATGCCAGACTACCTGGGTTCAAATCCTGGCTCTCTCACACACTAGCTCTGTGACCCTCCACAAATTACTTAAACTTTCTGGCCCTAATTTTCTCATTGATAAAAAGAGAACAATAATACTTGTCTCATTGCGTTAGGAAAGTTAAATAAGTCAATACATGTAAAGCATCTTTTAAGTAGGCTCCACGCCCAGCTTGGGACTTGAACTCACCACCCTGAGATAAAAAAGTCCCTACTGGCCGAGCTGCCAGACGCCTGTAAAGCATCTATTAATAAGTGTCAATAAATGTTAGTGATGAGGAGGAGAAGGAGGAGGATAAATACTCTCTGGGAATTAAGTAAAAGTTAATGAGACCTAATAAAAGTATGTAAGATGCAGGGTAGATATAAAATTGTCCACCAAATAAAGGGTAGATATAAAAATCACCAAATCTTATAACACTGTACACTAAGCAATAACCCTTAGAATAGGTAAATTTACTACAAATAAAAGCTACTCTAGAACTAAAAGTAAACGTCACAGGACCTACAACCCGAAACAGCAGCAGAGGGTGAAATAAAAGCAACCCTTGGTCTCACTCACTGTAGGAAGAATTCTTAACAGGATAGAGAGCAGTTTGGATTTCAACAGCAGGGAAAACCTGAATAGTTTTTTTTTTTTTTAAAGATTTTATTTATTTATTTATTTGAGAGAGAGAGAGAATGAGAGAGAGAGAGTACATGAGAGGGGGGAGGGTCAGAGGGAGAAGCAGACTCCCTGCTGAGCAGGGAGCCCGATGCGGACTCGATCCCGGGACTCCAGGATCATGACCTGAGCCGAAGGCAGTCACTTAACCAACTGAGCCACCCCGGCGCCCCTGAATAGTTTTGTGTAGTAATTTCTCATATATTAGTTTGAATGAATATACTGCCCCTCCAAGTCTCCATGTCACAAAACCAGCCATCAAATTTAAACATGATGGCCTGTGATGGCCAAGAAGCACATCACATAGGAGTCCAGCTCCCAGAGGACCACACCCAGCCAATCATTTAATTATATACAATCCTGTTTCCAATTGGCCACTATTACTACTAATAGCTAATTCCTTTGTAAGCACCTAATGAACAGAAATTCACTTGAAGCTATTCTACAAGAAGCTTCTTGAAGGTAGGAATAGGATTCCAAAGACAGCCCATAGTTATTTAACTTAATGTGGATGGAGTTAGTACTTTCTCATGCTCCTAACAATTCATGCAGAATAAAATTAGTTATACAAATATTATTAGAATTTGGAACTGTATCCAATTAGATGATTCACTAAATGAGCAGTCCAATGGGAAGAAAAACTACAAATTATTCTTAAGTCACGGTTTTATTGCTTTTCATATCATTCACTTATATCAGTCTCCTTGATATCATAAACTCAGTGTCCAGGACAGTAACTTGCAAATAGCAGATAATATTTGAACTATTTTATATAACTGCATATTTTCTTGAAATTCATAATCTAAATAATGGGGTCATAGAGCAAAAGCTTCAGAGGGGCTGAGCATCTAGCCTTCTAGCAGGGCCATACATTTAATCTGATGCAGGCCGCAGAATGGCCACCTTTCATGTCAGAGCAAAGGCAAGCTGGACAGTTCTGAGCAGCTTAAATCCCTAGGTGCTGCCAAAGGGTAAAACCATCAAAGTACTGATACAGACTTCTTTACATTCCTACCACTGCAGCCCAGATTTACCCAACAGAGGCCTCTTTCAGAACTGCAGGGACAACTCGGCATTCATTCACCAAATGGTCCTAGTCTACTAAGACTGCTAACTGATGGATGGTTTGTGTGATGCGCATATCAAAGAACAGTACAGGAGGAGAAGATGCCACTAATTAACTTCAGGCAAGCTATCGATCAATTAGAAGCGGAATACAAAAGATTTCCTATTACTTATTAGACAGTTGCACAACCAATGAGAGTCCCAATTTTTATCAGAATATTATGGATATCTTCATATCCACAGCTACAGTATTAATCCAGACCCTTATTTCTTCATACTTGTATGACTAAATTTATTACTTTGAGTATTTACAGGCTGCTAGTACTAAGTGATTATCTGCGTGTACATATATACTTACCTATATATACACACACACATACGTATATGTATTTAATCCTCCAAAAAGTCTAGAGGCCCCCAAGTGGATCAGTTGGTCAAGCGTCAGACTCTTGATTTTGACTCAGGTCAGGATCTCAGGGTCATGAGATCAAGCCCCATGTCAGGCTCCATACCCATGCTGGGCATGGAACCTGCTTAAGATTCTTTTCCTCTCCCTCTGCCCCTCCCCACCTCTTGTGCACGTGCATTCTCTCTTTCTCTCAAAAAAAAAAAAAAAAAAGTCTAAATAACACAGATTTTATCATCCCCCTCGTACAGACAGGCCTATCTTGCTGTTTTGTGCCAAAGCCCAAATTTGTACCCTCTATTTTATACTGACCCCAATAATCGTTTTCTTGCCTCTAGGCCCACCAGATTCATATTCCTGAACCATCCCAGGCCAGTCTATGCTTATGAAACTGTTACAGCACCTCTGGGCTTCCTAAATTGAAGCCAACTTCTTCGGACTGACCTTCCGAAGTTCCCAAATTGGCCTCACCTCACTTTCTCTCTCTAGAAGAGATCGTCTGTTAATCCATCATTACTTAAACAGTAACTGTGAATTATGTAGGTGAATAAGATGGACAACTCCTTCCTGTTATATGGATGCCCCTTTCCTCTGCTCCTCTTACAAAACAAATCCTACGTTCTTTCAGGTCTCCTTCAGATTCACCACCAGATAACATTCCCTGATGTAAGTGCCTCCCCTCACTATTCCTTCCATTCTTTAAATTCTCTCTGCTAGGGGCACCTATGTGGCTCAGTCAGTTAAGCATCCCGACTCTCAGTTTCAGCTCAGATCATGATCTCAGGGTCGTGGGATTGAGCCCATCGACAGGCTCTGTGCTGGGCATGGAGCCTGCTTAAGAATCTCTCTCTCCCTCTGCCCCTCCCCCGCCTTAAATAATCCTCTCTGCTGGGGCGCCTGGGTGGCTCAGTTAAGTGTCTGCCTTTGGCTCAGGTCATGATCCCAGCGTCCTGGGATAGAGCCCAAAATCGGTCTCTCTGCTCAGCAGGGAGCCTGATTCTCCCTCTCCCTGCCGCTCTGCCTACTTGTGCTTTCTCTCTGTCAAAATCTTTAAAAAAAATTGAATTAAAAAAAGAAATTCTTCTTTAAAGCATTAAATCTGGACCACGTTGGACACACACACTTAAAGGTTTCTCTAGTTCATGTGCACATGAACATCCTTAGAAATGGTAAGGATATACCTTTTAAAGCCCCTTTCTTCTGCCTCCATCCTTTTCTCAATTTCACAGTATTACCACTATCCATCTACCTGATGTGATTATACTCAAACCAATTTGTTCATATCTTCTCCAAGAAGATTTTCAGGGTTTAGTCATATCAGTCTATCAGTGATTTAACTCAACAACAAATTGTTTAAAACTTTCAAGTGTGCTAAAAAAAAAAAAAAAAAAAAAGGTGTGGGCTCCCTACACCCTACCCACAGCTAATGATTCATATTTAAAATGGCAGTGCGAAAAAAAGTTTAAAAACCTTTCATTTTCACATAAACACATTTTCCGGGCATAGATATATACCTTTACGATGCTTATCACTATCTGATATTACAGTTGTACTTGGTTCATGACTTGCTAAAGAATGTAAGCTCCATGAAGGCAGGAAGTTGGTTTTGTACACTGCTTTATTTCCAGAACCTAGATCAGCACCTAGCTGATACGTGGGGCTATTCAAATATCTGCTAAATGAGTGAATATACACTTTTTATAGCTCACATTTATGCATAAAGATTTACAAAGAAGACAGGGAAAGTTTTTATACTTTTAAGCCACTAATGAACGATGTGATTTACTATTTGGGAAAAAAAAAAAACTTGAAGGTAGTGATATTGAAACAGTAAAACTAGGAACCCTAAAGTTCTGAAGGTAAACTTAATTTATACGAAGCTGAAAACACTAAATCTGCACAGAGGCCTTGAAGTTTAAGAACTGCATTTATTTCCAAAAGCTTTCCTTTTCACTCCAATCCCAAAGATTTTCAGCTATAAAGGAAAAAACTAAACTACCCAGCTGCCCAAGGTGAGAAGGAACATTCATATAATAAAGTCGCTAAGATATCTGAGGCAATGAAAAGGACCAAATTTTCTTCTCCAAAGCAGAAGAGGCACAAGAGGAGGGCACGTCACCGTAAACAAAGCCAGACAAGGGCCTCAGGGAGTCGATTCCAGACAATAGCAGCAACTGTAGAGGCAAGGTCTGGGGTTGGGTCAAAGGGGGTGGAGTCTCAGAAAGCACCACGGAGAGTGATCAGCGCCAGCAGTGGGGCAGGCGCCGGGGCGAAGGCAGGACCTGGCTCCGACGAAAGCTCCGGGGATACCTGTGTGCGTCGGAAGGGGGGTGGGTGATCTGGAAAACTGGGCGCAAACAGCTGCGAGATTTTCTGTTTTGTTTTCTTTTAAATACGGCGACCCCAACCACTCAGCCCCAAGCTCTGGATGCGACGAGGGGAATCGCCGGTAGGCGCAGGCCAAGATTCCCCAGGGACCGGTAACGCGGCCGCGGGCGGCGGGCAAAAGGAGCCCCCAGGGCCGGGGCCCAGGGGGTGACTTACTTTGAGAAGGCAGCTGTTGAGAGGAGCGGGCACCGAGGTGCGATGGATAACCAGGTCCTGGCCTGGATTGTGCACGTCGCAGATGAGCTCCAGCACAGCGATGCTACGGGCCGTGGACACGGACACGCGATGGTCCTCGGACCAGGCCAGCGGCTCCAAGCCGCTCACTGCATATTGCAGCTTCACGGCCGGCTCCCGCCGAGTTACCAGGAAGCGGAACGCGGCACTGGGCCCGGGGGCCGCGTCTGCCGCTGACTCCTTCCCGCCCGCCTCGCCGCCCCCCTCGCCCTCCTCCTCCTCGGGCGGCGCAGGCCCGTCGGCCGCGGGCCCCACCCGGGCCTTGTCGGCGGAGCTCATTTCCCCTCAAGTGCAGAGGCCGGATTCCGGGGCGCGCCAACCCCGCGCCGCCGTCCCGTTGCCGCCTTTGGCGCCGCCGCCGCCGCCACCGGCCCCCAGCGCCCTCCGCGGCGGCTTTCTCCCCTCAGGCCCGGAGCGCCGCCGAGCCAGGAAGGACCCCGCCGTTGCTAGGCGACCCAGCCCTGCCAGGTGGCCAAGGCGCTGCCTGTCTAGAAAGCGCGCCTCCTCTGGGGGCAGGACGGAGCCGCGCCCGGACTCGGCGGAGGTGGTCGAGGGGAAGGGGGCCTCGAGGGTTCCGTCTCCGGGCGACCGAGCCCCAGGCCCCTGTAGAGACCTCCCGGGTAACTAAAGTGCCGAGGAAGCGGTAGCCTGGCAGCAGACGAAGGAAACGTTGGCTAGGTGGCACACGGCCTCTTGTTTCTGAGGCACTCAGAGAACTTCACGGGCATGAGCTCCACGGCTGGGTGTCATGTGGCATCGCCCGCCGCGGACGAAGCCGCGAGGGAAGCCAAAAGGAGAGGCCACCGAGTCCGGAGACCCCGGCGCCGTGGCCCGTGGGCCCTTGGGGACCCGGAAGGGGCGCGGCCGCAGGAGCCGGCGGGGCACCTACGCGGGGTCCTCGCGCGCCGCCCACGTGGGGCCGAGCCGAGCTGTGGGCCGGCTTCGAGAGGTCCGGCCGCGCTAGCCGGTGCCGGCGCCCGTCCGTGTCCGCCTCTGCCCGCTTCTCGCCGCGTGTCATGGCAGCCGCCGGCACGCTTCTCCACCACGTCCCGGAGTCCCCGGCCGCCGCCCCCAGGACGCTCTCGGGACCCCGCCAGGCCCAGGCGAGGCGGGTGAGTTATGACCCGGCTTCAGAGCGGTCCGCACCCGAGGCCGGGCCCGCCGCCTCGCCTCTGGGTAGGGTTTCGAACTACCGACAGAGTTAGGGGGGAAAGTGGGCTGTCTAGCAGCTTCTGGAGAATTCGCTGAACGGCACGCGTCTGAGCTCGGAACACCACGCAGCGGGGATGTTCTGGGCGGCCGCGGAGCGGGTGTGGAGGGGCGTCTGCTGGTTCGGGCTGCAAGTTGTAGGGCCCCGAAGGTCGGGTAAAGGGTGGGAGGCTGATTCCAGCCCAAGTTGGGAACTGCCGCCGGGATGTGAGTGGCAGCCCCGGGCACTTGCCAGCCACACCTCCTAACTTCTCTCAGTCACCGTTGCCTCATTGGAGGTTGGTTTGGTTCGGGAACGAGGACTGGACTAGAGGTCTTTTTCAAGAGCTTTCAAAAATAGCATAGATTCTCACCCAGCGTGCAGTGCGGAAAGAGAATACGGAGCGGCAGTTTAACCTGCTCACTGGGGAGAGGAAAGATGCTTTAAATTTAAAGGAAGCCAGAGCTGAAAACTGGTTTCTGGGATGGTTGACTTCTCTCCTGGAATAGAGGAGGGCTGCAGGGCAGAAAATCTGTTGTAGAATCCTGAGTTACCACAGAGGCCAGAAATTATACCAGCTCGTGCCAAGGAAGGTGTGTGTTTTCTCCAGAAAGCAACAGGTAATTCCATTGACAATTGCCGAAGTTCAGTTCCACCAGTGTGTTGAAGCTGATATTCCTCGAGTTCATATAAGGATTCTCTTTGGTGGTTTTTCAGTGATAGTCAAGCTTTAGGATTTAGAGGTTTGGGAGTAGGAGTTTTCAGCTAGCCAGTGGGGTCGCTGCTTCTGGGAGGAGGAGAGGGAAGTCCCGAAGAGCCCCTGGGAGCATGGGGCTTGGACAGACCTGGGATTAGATTCCCATCTTGCAACGTGCTGGTTTTGTGAACTTGGGGGAGTTATTTCACCTCTCTGAACCCTCACTTTCCAATCTGTGAAACGATTGTAAAATGCAGGGTAGACATAAAATTGTCCACCAAATAAAGGATAGATAAAAACAACAAAAGTGTCTACTTTATATAAAGTTATTGTGAGGAGTAAATGAAATAATATACATAAAGACTCTATATATTTTCTGGCCCACAGAAGCACTTAATAAATGCCAATGGTAAATAAAGTCGTATTGGCTTCATTTTGAGTAATGGAATTTCTGTGTCTGGAGGTCAGTGGGGAGCTTGTGCCGTGGAGGTGCCTAGTAACACAGAGGAAGCGCTATTAACACCTTGAGTGAGTTGAAGGAATAATAATTGGATGTCTGGCTTTTTGATCGCTTGAACCACTGTGTCAGAAGGATGTGTATTAATAAGATGATGACAGGTGTCTGCAGTGCCCTCGTCTGCATCTGCATTTTTTGTCTTAAATGAGAACTAGAGGTATGCCAATCAAATTTGCCAGTGGCCTGAATTTGGGACGGGTAACTAGTATAGTGAATTTGGGAAGGCCTCAAGACCTTAAGTGATGCTATATGTAACAGTATATGGTGTTTTCTTTTTAAAAATGTTTTCTGACAATTCAAGTAATACGAGGTTATTGTAGGAAATAGGGGAAGTATGTTAAAGTGAAAAACCCCATCATTGCCATGCTCACAGGTAACTGGTTAACATTTTGGTGTATATCCTTCTAGAAAACAAACAAGGGATGAAGCTACACATGATGTTTTCCAACCAAACAGGATACAGTTAATAAATAGTATTATAGCATAATCCTCAGGAGCCCGGGGTGTAGAATCAGGGCCTGAGCAAAACCTGGATCCCCCAATGATCCTGGAACAAATTACCTCACAACTCTGCCTCGGTGTTCTCTCTTAAAATGGGATGATACCAGTACCTGTATTGATACATTAGATAACTCTTAAGTACTTAGCATGTTGCCTGGGATCTGGTATATTTATTAATATCAGAGACATAGTATTTAGACTTTTAGGGCTAGGTAGGCCTTAGAGGTCATCTGCCAGAACCCGCTCATTTTACAGGTACAGGAACAGAGACTCAGAGGGAGGTAATTTGCTTAACGTTGTAGAGCTGACTTTTTAGTAGATTCAGGTACATCCTAGCTCCTCTTTGCTCAGATGCCCCCTCTGAAGCATTTCTGTTTCCTGGCCTCCTTTCCCCTTGCCGTAGGACATGGTAGTCTTGTTTTGTGCTTTTGTAATCCTTTGTACGTACCTCTTCTGAGTACAAACATAGGTTTGGGTTTGTGGTTTTATACTTTTGTCTCTTCCACTAATCTGCGATCTCCTCAAGGGCTTGGCTAATTTTCCAGCCTTGTATTCTCAGAACCAAGCTACTTGTTGACAGCTGTTGAGGAGTCGGTTTCTTAAATGAATGTGTTGTGGATGCTGGGGCAGAAAAGCTAACAAGCAGTGGAATAGTGGCCACATTATGGGAAGGGATAATTCCATGTGTGTCGATCGTCTTACGAGCATTTATTGAGCACTTACTTTGGGAAGATTTGAGCCCTACAGGGGATGCAGTGCCACGCAGGACAGACTTGTCCATTTCCTTATGGAGTTTACAGTCTAATGGGGAGGACCGACACCAGTTAACATTACATTTTATGCTTGTAATCGTACTGAGTGCGAAGAAAAAGGGTGCCAGCAGAGCCACGAGTGGGAGCCCTGGCCTGACTAGGTGGAGAGAAGAGGTCAGGAAAGGTTTTTCTGAGGACCCAGTAGGCTTAGATCTGAAGGATGAGTGAGTTAGCTAGCCAAAGGGGGGTTGCAGACATGGGTATAGCAATAGCATGTGCAAAGGCCCTGAGGAGGGAAGGAGCATGTCACGTTCTAGGAATTAAGGGAGACCAGGACAGCTGAGGCTGGTGGGATGGGCAGAGTCCAGCTTCTAGAGGGCTTTGTAGATCATATGACAGGTTTTTGATTTTAGCCTGAGAGCCGTGGAAAGCCTGTGAAATATTGTGCTTAATTCTGAATACTTGTTTTAGAGAACAGTGGACATGAGAATGAAAGGTGACTGGGATGAGAAAGGATTGAAAGCTTGTGTCCTGTTTGGACTGTTTAGTCCAAAGAAGAAACAAAGTTAGATGATGTGTGAAGGAATGTGATGCACAAGAGGAAGTAAGCTTGTTTTTTGTTGCTGCAGAAAGCAAACCTCAGACTAGCAGATAGATGATCAAGGTGGCAGATCTTGTCTGAGTGTCAGAAACAGCTTCCTAACCCCTAGAATTTGGTGTCTCAAGGGATGGAGAGCAGTAAAGGGAAGGTGTGTAGGCAAGGCCTACTGCAAGGCCACCTGTCAGGGAGCTTGTAGTAGGAAGTCCATGCGTGGTGGGAGTGGCTCTTAGGCCTTTTTATGCTCAGAGTTCCATAAATCAAGGAATGTCAGCACATTTCATTGTGCCTTGCAAAAGATTCAGCAGATCTGGAACTTGACTTTTATCTCTTTCTTTAGTCTAAACATTCATAAATTTGGGACTTTGTAAGAATAGATTTGTAAAATGGAGCAGGTCAATACTTAATTAATAGTAAATACTCGAAGTTGGTATTTATTAAATTATTTAGATATAGGAGTCCTGTAGTTGTCAGGAACAAACAAATGTTGTTATTGGTAGGTTAGCCTGAAGCTGACAGTCATGGCCAAAAGCAAGCTGATGTGTAAATGGAATCCGTCATTTCCAGCTAAGGGGGAAATAACATTCCAAGAGAAACCAAAATGCCAGAATAATAAGCCCTGGCTACTCAGGGGATGTTTTTTATTCACGTGTAAATTGGAAGAGAAGACCAAAGAAAACAGAATGTTTGTTCAAAGAAAATTGGCTGTTTCTTCTCCTGGGAGAAGTTTGGACATGACACACGTAGCCACATCCATGTTACAGAAATAAGCAACAGGCAAGAAAATGCCGAGTGTTGTAGCCTGTAATTGGTGATCAGATGGGGACCTGAAAGGCAAGGAGAGTTGGAAATAATTGTGGTAGAAGTGATGGATGGAGCAGAATTCTCATTTGGAATGGAAACGGGAGTAGGAATCATCTCCAAGCCATCTGAATCTGGGGGAGCAGCGTGAGGGGGAGGATGACAGCGATCCAAGCACTCTGGGGTAGAGCAGTAATGAAGGTTTCTGCTTCCTGGGCATGGGCTGGGATGCAGCCTCCCATGTGTAGTCACCAACAGGCTTTGTTGATGGAGAGAGAGGATGCGCTCCCCCTCTCCCCTGTTCTTTTTGTGTGGATGGACATCTAGGAATAAGGATTGACTTAGCGTGCACACTTCACAGGGTGGGTTTCTCTTCCCTTAAAAGAGACTCCCATTTGTTCATGTTCAGCCCCACAAAGGTTTCTCCCTTGATCCTTACCCTCATCTTGGTTGAGTGGATGGTGAGGTCTGGTGTGTGAATGAGCTGAAATTTTTGTGTTTTGTTCTGTTTTGTTTTTTTCTTTTTGGAAAAAAAAAAAAAAACTGAGTCAAAGAATCTGATTGCAGACCCTAAACTGTTGCTTGACATATGGGGCATAATGATCTCTGCAGGGAGAGATGCAATTCTGTGGGCAGTCAGGCTTCACTCTGAGGTTTGTCTTCATGGACTAATGCATCTCTTGTTGCTCTTGCCTTTTGGGAACAACACAGCAAGCCGAGGCCACCAAAAGAAAACACCAAGCATCCAGTGAGACTCCCCCAGTGAAACGGAGGAACGAGGCATCATTTCTCCCGGCCAAGAAAGCTGCTGCTAAAGAAACACAAAGGACTTTTAAGGGGAAGGCACGGAAAACGTTTTCTCCGAAGAAATCTTTGGTTGGTGTGAGTGATGGACCCCGAGAACAGAAACCGTGCGTTAGGACTTCATCGTTATTTAAAAACAACCCTGAAATCCCAGAGCTCCACAGGTATGTTCAGGGGCACGTGTGCTCAGGAATAGGAGGAGTTAAGTGTATTCTGCCTTTTTCTCTGTCGATTGGAACTGACGCCTCGGTTTTGTTCGTCATTTGCAGACCTGTAGTAAAGCAGGTGCAAGAAAAGGTGTTCACTTCAGATGCTTTTCATGAACTGGACCTCCACCCACATTTAGTAAGTATCACTCAGTGTCTTGTGTGATGGGTTTTTTTCAGTGTGGTTAATTTCTTGGGAATGTCTGGGAAATGACTTTTAGGAAGAAAAATCAAAGAATGGTTATTTCTGCTCCAAATTAACCTGAGTGAAGTTAGATTGATAAGATGCTCTTCTAGGACATTCCCAGTGAGCCTAGGTTACTGTTCACTGTCCTTATCTCCACCCCCACCCCCTTTTTAAAGAACTAAACACTTTCCTAACCTAATTCAAATTAGGCCTGGGGCTCCACTTACTGGACTCTAGGACAAGCTCCTAATTAGTGGGTAGATGGGACGTGGAGGCTGATCTGGGTGGCAGGGGTCACAGTGACCACAGGAGAGGAAGCTGAGCTGGCATTTTCATATCAAGGGTAGTCTGTTGTTAAATTGAATGAAGATATTCTACAAACAAATGGATTTTTTTTAATTTTTTTTTTTTTTGACCGTGATGAAGTTTCCACTCTTATTTATGAGTAAGAGAAAAATGCATTAACTTTCAGGGAGTCTGGATTTCCTTTGCTCCTATGGTCACAGCTCACTGCTTTAGGGTTATTTACATAAGCTGTTTTCTTACCTACGGGTTTGAGCAGGGACATCGAGCAGGTTCGTGCTGTGGACATTTGGGGATGGATAACTCTTTGTCACGGGCACCGTCCTGTGCACGGTAGGATGTTCGGCAGCACTCCATGACTACTCACTTGATACCAGTGGCATCCCCTGCCCCACTTGGGACAACAAAAATTGCTTCAGACATTGCCGCGCGCGCGCGCGCGTGTGTGTGTGTGTGTCTATGTGTAGGGGGGCAGGGGGGGATGGTGGGCAGAACCACCCCCAGGTGACACTCACTGGTTGGAAGAACTTCAACATGGCCATCGGTTTTATCCCAGTATCTTCTCCTTCTTTGCGTCCTCATTTGCATAAACAAATATGTTTATATTTGTGCCAAAAAATCGGTAGTTAAAAATATTTATTTTGTGTGTTCTCTTTTAGATTTCCACAATAAATACGGTCTTAAACATGACTAGTATGACCAGGTAAGGGTTCCAGGCCATTGTTGCTTTTGTTAAGACTTGAATGGGTATGACCAGTGAAATTTGAATATCTGTGGAGCACAGAGCAAATTTGTGTCTTCGTATTAGAGAACACTGCCGGATTGTTGCCCATCCAGGGCTTGACACACCACTTAACCGCCCAGTTCCCCCACTTGTTAAATGGAGAGACTGAGTCCCCAACTACTTCTGTTGTCAGCTCTGAACCGGTCCAGAAGATGTCTGCATGTGATCCCGCTGCTGTCCATGCTACCCTAAAGATAATATGTCCACAATATAGAATTTACCTGGTCATTTTTTAAAAATTTTTTATTGTTATGTTAATCACCATACATTACATCATTACATCATTAGTTCTTGATGTAGTGTTCCATGATTCATTGTTTGTGCATAACACCCAGTGCTCCACGCAGAACGTGCCCTCCTTAATACCCATCACCAGGCTAACCCATCCCCCCACCCCCCTCCCCTCTAGAACCCTCAGTTTGTTTTTCAGAGTCCATCGTCTCTCATGGTTTGTCTCCCCCTCCGACTTACTCCCCTTCATTCTTCCTCTCCTATCTTCTTCTTTTTCTTTTTTCTTAACATATCTTGCATTATTTGTTTCAGAAGTCCTATCTGGTCATTTTTTAGTAGTAAGAAGTAGAGGCAACCAGAAAGATTAAATACTTGGTCAGATATAATGGAATATTGAAAAAAATTTTTTTGAATGTTTAATAGTAATGAGTCTTGGAAAATAGTAAAAGATGTAGAGAAGAGGTGAACTTCCTTTTTGTGAGTATGTATGCTTTATATTTTACATTTTACTAATCGTCACATTTTACTTATATGTACAAGTTAATAAGAATCTTGAATAAAAGGAGGACCCCCCTTACCCATTTTTTTTGTTCAGTTTCATCAACCAAATTTAAATGAATTCTGTGCCCTTTTTGTTTGTTTTTAAATACATGTGTGGACACACGTTTTAGTGTGTGTATGATAGTCACACCTCAGTTTTTTAGAGACTGGGAAGCAGCTCCAGGCTATCTGGATGGCTCACAAGCTTCCTGGTACTCTCTTGCATGGGAATCTTTCCGTCACATCTTACTGTGTCTCCCTGCCTGTCACAGGAGGCGAGGAGGGGGCGAGGGGGGCAGTATGCTCTCGTGGTACCTCCAGCTTGACATCATGCCTGTGCCATTTTCCTTTTTAATCTGTTTGCTAGAGCCGCCAGTCCCTGGCTTGCCTCAGCATTTTCAGCTGAGTTCCAGAAATTTAACTGAGGTTTTATCCCTCCAATCATCAAAAGTTTCTCAGCACCTTCGCTTGAATGTTTAGGTGACTTCTGAGGTAGCAGTTGGCAGATGCAGCAAAGCATGGGGGCGGGTGTGATTTGTGTATCTTGCATCTCTGCCTGTAAATGGGAGAGGGTAAAATATTATAGTTCAGCATGTGTTCGTTCTTTTGTGTGGCCCAAGCATTCAGAAGCAAAGTATTCCTGCGTTGCTGGAAGGCAGAGATGCCCTGGTGAGATCGCAGACAGGCTCAGGTGAGTCGTCACTTAACTTCTGCCCCCTTTCCCCTGATACCTAGGCCACACTCACATAGTAGGTTCCATAGTAAAATGTCTGTCTGTGGCGGCAGTGGCTTTGTTTTGTTGGGGGAAGGAGGAAGGCCGTGCCTGCTCTTGATGAGCACCCCAAATTTGTTCCCCTAGTGAAAGGAAGGGGGTGGTTGGTTGTGCTGTGGTCAGGAACGATCGGGAGGTAGTCAGCTTCTGCCAGGGCTCTGCCCAGTCCCACCATCTGTGACCTGAGCTGCCCTCCTCACTCCAGTGGGGGATGAATATTTCTGATACTAAAGCACAGCTCTGGCATGAGCACACACTGTTTGGATGCCAGTTGTTTTGCTCTAATACGGAACACAGGTTTTGCATGTTCCAAAATTGTCTGTAGACTTGTTCTTCTGCCCCTCCTGTGCCCAGAATGGCAGGTTGGCTATTCACCACGCCTCCCAGCTCAGCCACCATTCAGGTGGGTGGAAACCCGAAGCTTTTGCTTCGTGGTTTCTCCACGGTCTTTAGAGGCTGGCTCAGGGTTCAGACTGGCTCCTAAGCACATCAGTGCCGTGCGGGTCGTTCACTTAGCCATAAAGCTCATTTGCACGGTTAAGGATGACTTTCAAGGAGTTTTCTAGCTTTGAGGGGTAGTCCTCAAGTTGAGGTTTTGTGTAACTTGGGAAATGTGTCATTGTCTCCCTTGTTAGCTGGATAAAGGAGCGGAAGCTGCAGGTTTTTTGGGAAGTACTGGATTTACAAACAAAATTGGGGGTTGTGGCAGACAGGTAAATTCCGTTTTCGCCTCTCTTGGATGGTAGGATGTGCGCTTTTCCTGTCCCGAGTTGAGTGCTACCCAAAGGTAGCAGAGCCCATTTTCTTTACTGTCTTTGCTATTCTTAACATCTGTAGGGTCTGTGATTTTAATTGCTTTTGTACTTTTTTAAAAGGTAAAACACTTGCCTACTGCATCCCTGTGGTCCAGTCTCTTCAAGCAATGAAATCAAAAATACAGGTGAGTATAGTGTTTTTCTGTTATTGCTCATAGTACATAAGCAGCATTGACCTGAACCAAAGCAGTAATTCTGGGACCAAAAGAATCTGTTTCCATTTAACATTATTTTCTTCTTTTTGATTCATTTATTACATAAACACATTGCATCTGAGGATTGTGCCCAGAGTAGAATAGAATAACTATATTTTGTAATCATCACGGCAGGTCTAAGAGGAAACGTGTAAAATACACGTTCCTCGTGTCAGACGTTGTGCTGGATTCTTTGCCTGTGTTGTATATTCTTGAATCTTAAACACCACCCCAGACCCAGTGAGTTACAGGTATTACTATTACCCTAAGTTTACAGAAAGAAATGGAAGCTTGGGGAGCAGTGGTGGAATACTTGTCTTTAGTTGGGAAACACATTTAGTTAGTGCCTGGGCCAGAGGGGCCAAAATTGGGTTCCCCAGGTCCTGTAGGAGGCACGTTAACTGCCAGGCTCCAGAGGCGCAGGCATCATTTGAAGACCCAGCCCAGAGTCCCACAAATACGTCCTGATTATCCTCAGTGGAGAGGATGTGGTGAGATCTGAAATAGGAAGTGAGGTGGGTACACAAGCAGAGGAGAGGAGTCAATTGGCTACTTCTTTTTTTTCATTTTGGACAGATAGAATTAGGCATGTGTCCACCCTACCTGATACTGAGTGACAAGCAAGTAGTGATAGCATTGGATAATAGCCCACAGGCTAAAATGAACATCCATGAGTACAGACTGACAGAAACAAATTATTGAGTAAATAGATAAGCAGACGGGAGGAGGACAGACCCTTTGTGCAGTAGAATTCCAGTGGAGAAACATAGAAGTGATGGAGTAGAGCATCACTGTCTGGCCATTGCCTTAGTAATACTGTGTCACACATCACAGATGCTGAAATGAGGGGGTGAAAGTCTGATGAAAAATGGGATATTTACCTAGTTAGTCTCAAAGGATCTCCCTACAAGATACGTCTTAATCACAAAGGGCAAACAGTCACTTTACGTTGGGGAGCCTGGCTGCTACCACTTCACCCAGGCAATCAGTGTGGGCATCCCCAGTGCTGGGACGTGTCGGCCTCATGCACCTCCAGATAGGTGCCCAGAGGACACCACGCCACTTCTGTGGTTGTCCTGCCCCAAAGGTGTCACCCGGATTTAATTCTGAGCAAATATCAGACAAACGCAAATCTAGAGACCTTCTCCAACGCAGCTGGCTGATGCTGTTCGAAAGTATTAAGGTCATCCAAAACAGAAATGCTGAAGAACTACCCCAGGTTAAAAGAGACGAAGGAGGCATGACAGTTCAGTGCAACATGTGGTCCTAAACTAGGTCTTGTCTGGGAAGGGGATGCTGCAAGGTCAGTCAGTGAGGGCAGATACGGGCTGCAGATTAATTCACAGTTTCACATCAGTACTGATTCCCTGGTTTTGATCATTGTACTGGGATTTTGAGAATTAATAACCGTATAAGGAAGCTGGGAGAAGGGTATAAGAGTTCTTCGTACTATTTGTGTAATTTTTTTGTAAGCCTAAATTTATTTCGAAAGGAGTTTTTAAATTGTACTTTAACTTTATTTAAATAATTTTAAATCAGTAAAACAAATCCTACACAACATCCAAGTGATGGAACCTTACATAGACATTAAAAGTGGTATTTTTTTCAATTTCTCTTTGTGAACTTGACAAGTGTTCTTGCATATGAAATTGAAAAAAGGCAGGGTACAAAACAGTATGTACAGTTTGATCTGATTTCATAAATAATACTCTGTGTGTGTGTGTGTGTGTGTGTGCGTGTGCGTGTGCGCGCGTGCGCACATGCACGCGTGCATAAAAAGACAAGAAAGAAACTATTAATACTGGTTTCCTCTGAGTTGGATAAGTGAGGAATTTATTTCCTACTGGTGACTGATTTTTTCTTCCCATTGGGCACTTTTCAGTAAGATAATTCATATAAAGGATTTAGCATTGTACTGGTACCTAGTTAGAGGAGAGAGGCCAGGTATTACAATAATGTGGGAAAGTCTTATCCATTTATAAATTCTAGGAGAATTTCTTGCTAGTAGTGGGTTTTTGTTTTTGTTTTTTTTTGGTTTTTTGTAAGGTTGGAGAGTTGGGGAATATTTGAGCTGGCATGGTCCTGTAATTCCAGCCCAATGGTCTCATTTCATAGGCCGGTGACCTGAGGACAGGAGAGATTAGAGTACGTACCTAAGGGAGGCCATGTGGTGGGCAGCTCTGTTCAAAGCCTGGGTGCGAGTGTGTCTTTAGGCAAACCCTTTCATCCCTCTGTGTCTCAGTGACTTCACCTGTTGTGTGTGTCTCCTGGGGTGACCCTGAGGCTCCTGAGCTAATGCACGTGGAGCGTGGAGAGCTGGTGTCCAGCTTTTAGTAACAGTACCTGCTCATGAAGCGGTAGTTGTCACTGTCCAAAGTGTGGGCATGTGGCTAGTTTGAAAGGCAACGATTTGATTTGCTTATATCTGGATACGTTCACCAGCCATGTTGTCATTTTTATTTATTCTATTTCAAAGATTGAAATATTCTGTAAAAAGAGTTCTCTAAGTCCAAATTTAGTTCATTTATTTCAAGTAATATTCAATAGAGACCCTTGGAGTTCATTGTAAAATGATTTGACCTGTAAAAAACCTATCTGGAGGGAGCAGCAAACTCAAGGCACCCAGCAGAGTCGTAAATTACTTTGGTGATGGAATGGGAACGGATTGCTTTTCTGTGTTTTCACTCTTTCAGTTATTTGGGCTCTGATTTTTTTTAACAACACATCCATCCTTCTTTACTCACTTCTGCCCTGCGAGGAATTGATTTTTCTTTCTTCTTCTCTGTGTAGTAACACCTTTTGAAATGTCAGAATCTCCTAACGTCACATTGTGGCACGTTGATACTGTTGTACTAACATGTTTACCATTCCTCGCCTAGGCCTCGCAGACTTGATGTCGAGTACAGACGGCTCTAGTTTGAATTCCAAATCCTTTTCTCCTTATGTGTAAATGTTTCCTATGCAAAACATGAAAACCATGCTTGTAATTGAATCTGCTCTAAACCTGCACTTAGCTTCTGCACCAACATTGTTTTGATTAATTCCTAAGTGTCTGTGAGCACTTTAGAGATGCAAGACACCACTGACTTTGAGACCTTTATTGGGTTACTTTTTTTGTTTTCTCTTACTATTATCTTTGTTATTATTTTTTTAGATATAACGTATATGTTAAAAAATTAAAAAGAGTACCAAACAGTACATGGTGGGAAGTAAGTCTTATACCCCCTCTCCCCTACGCAGCACAGCTCTCTCGGGGTGCGGGTTGCCAGGTCCTCCCGGGGGCTCATCTCTGCAGAGACAGCAAGTGTGAGCGTACAGAGTTCCCTCCCCCCTTTAGCTTCTGTGTGTGTGTTTTTCTCTTGTGTTTGGTTTGATACACAAGTGGTTGCTTGCTGTGCATGTTGTGTACCTTGCTTTTGTTCTCTTGATATGTTTGGGGATAGTTTCTTAGCAGTGCCCTGCCCATCTGCCTTGCTTTTTTAATGGCTGCCTAGTATCCTGCTGCCTGTCGCTACCATAAGTTACCATATCAGTCCCTCCTTGGTAGAATTTACATTATGTCAGTATTTTGCTACAAACAAGGCTTTTCTACATACTGCACAGTCTGTAAAATGTTTATTTTTTATGCGTACTTACGGGTGCATCTTTTAGAGAAATCCCCAGAAGTGGAAGTGGCCTGTTTATTTGGTAGATGACGCCACAGTTGAACTTCCAATGGGTGAAGCCACCCTCCCCGCAGCAGGGCACCCAGGAACCCCTGCTCGCCCGCGCCCTCGTGACACCACCCGCTGTGTTGGTTTGGCTCATTTGGCAGACATTGGAGTTGAACATCTCACATGTGTGAAAGCCATGTTTTGAATTCTTAATTTCCAGAAATTGGCTATTTACGTTCTTTCTCCATTTTTCTACTTAAGTTGTTGTGGTCTTTTTATTTTTATTTTTTATTTGAATCATAGACCTTTGTAAACTACGGAAATTGGGCCTTTCTCTTATGTGTGGCATGTTTTCCCTTCATTTTGTCATTTATACTTGATTTCGTTTAGGTATTATTTTCCCATTCTGAAGTTAAAAACTTTTACATAATAGAATTTATTAGTGTTTTCTTTTATAGTTTCTGAGTTTTATGTCATCTGTAAAAAGGCTCACTTGATTCCACCTTGACTTTTCTGACTTTGTTCTTGAAGACTGAATAATTTATCTTTTCCCTACTGATACAAAATGCACCTTATTTCCTGTAATTCTGTGCATACTTGATTCTGTTCTATTTGCTGTTGTAATCTCAATTTATATGCCACTTTCAATTTTTTTAAATTACGTTGGTTTTAAATTGTTTTAACATCTGATGTTTTTCAGACATATTTTGGTTATTCTTGCACATTTATTTTTCATAGGAACTTTGAAATCAGCTTCTCTGAATATAAGTATTATATATGTTGTGTGCATATATGCATATTTGTGGCAGTTTTGTTAGGTTTGCATTACATTTGTGGGTTGACTTAGGGTTAGCGTATTTGTGATATGGAAGCATCATATCCAAGAATAGGATACATTTTCCCATTTATTCAAATTTTATTTTATGCTCCTCAGAAGTGTTTTAAAATGTCTGTCACAGATTTTGAACATTTTTTGTCAAGCTTCTTGTTGCTGCTCTGCTGTGATTTTTTTTCCCCCTTCCACTGTATTTTGTAACTTTTTTACATCAGAAGGCTGTAGATTGTGTATATTAATTTTGCATTCAGCTACTCCACTGAGTTGTCTTTTTTGTAGTAGATTTTCAATTGATTCTCTTCAGGTTGGTTTTTTTTTTTAAGGATAAAATATCATCTGCTAACAATGACAGGTTTACCTCCTACTTTGCAGATTTATACATATTTCTTTCTCTTGTCTGATTGCATGGGCTGGATATAATAATTAGGGTAGTGGGCATCGGAGTCCCTTTCTTAATGAGACTGTTGCTGACGTGTGCAAGTGGCCACCCTCGAGTTCTGTCCACCTGGAGGCCTGTGACCTTCATTCGTCCACTCACAGCACTCCTTTCCTTCTGTGTCAATAGCGCAGTGACGGCCCCTATGCCCTGGTACTGGTGCCGACAAGAGAGGTAAGCAGTCTCACCTGCGGGATGGGTAGTAAGCAGGTACTTTCCTTTTGGAAGTAAGATCCTTTTGAATTTAAAAGTGGGTTTTACCATTTTTCTCCCTGCTGCACCCTTACCTTTGCCTGGGGCCATCCTTTTGGTTCCCATCAAGAAGAAAAATTCGAGTACTCTTTTTGAAAATCATAAGCTAAGTATGGAAAAGCATTTCCTTATTGTCTAAAAACCAACGACACTATAAATTTCTATACTTTTAAAAGGAATTAAAATAATTACATTTTCTACTTTTTTGGTTTGTTTTATAACTTAATTAAAAATTAGAGCATTCGACCCTAAAATAGACTTTTTTTTTTAAAGAGGCTACTGTACCAAAAATTTTACTTGTTCTTCAAAGTTAAGCTTCTTGACATTTTTCTTCTTTCTTGGTGGAAATCCTTCTATCTGATCTATTTTATTTGCCTAGAGAGGGAAGTTTAGATCAGGGTGTCTGTTTTCTATATCAAATGATAATCCCTTCCTTGCAGAGAGTTGATCATGGAGATGGAGGTTTCTACTTAGCCTGTTATACAGCCTGCAGTGCCCTATCTCAGCTCAGTCCTGTGAAGGAGCAGGCATGAAGCTATTTAAATTTTTACAGCAGCAAACTTGATACTTCCCTAGGATGCATCATGAATACTAAGCATATGGAAGCTCTATGCGTATCTTTGGATAAAGGGATTATGTTGAGGCTTCTTGATAGTTGTTAATGGTTATAACCTACATTAATTTTCACTTTCTCTGGTTTCCACTGGGCTTGTTGGAATTTGTTCCTTTAATAAACTTGGGGAGTGACCACCTCTCAGTGCTCTATTTGGCATATTCGAAGAGTACCTCCTACGACCTTTAAAGCAGTGTGCCCAGAGGCTAGCCTCTTGACCGCTATTCCAGGTTACTCCCTCCTGCGTATTCTGTTCTCTGTCTTCCTGAAGGGAGGCACATTCAGGGTGATGCTGTTCCGCTTCTCCATCCGTGTGCACCGTAGACTTGTACTTCTCTGTGTGGCACTCTGGGAATTTGAGCCAGCAGAGGGAGCACAAGACACTATTTTTGTACATGTCCAAGGAGTGGACGCAGTATCTCTGTCCACATTCTCCAAACTGACAGGTTCCAGAAGGAGTGTAAGAACAAAGTGTATTGTTCTGAGTAGATGCTGTATATCAGATTTTGTTTTTCTTAAATCTTAAGGTCGGAGTTGGAATCCTAATCACTTTACATTGTCTAAAGGTTTTTAAAAGGTTGGGGCTGAGGCAGGGCAGGGGCGGCGGGGGCAGGTGGGAACAACCTCGTTCATTACTTGTAACTTTTCACTCTTCACAGCTGGCTCTGCAAAGCTTTAACACTGTCCAGAAACTGCTTAAGGTAAGGTGAGCCGTGACTTCAGTTTTATCTTTGTTTTCCTTGACTTTTTGAGAAAAGAAAAGTCTACCAGTCTTATCTTCATCTTCAAAAGGCAAGGAATTATTTCAGTTTTTCTGGGTTCCCTGGGTTTCTCTGCTCTGTCCAGGTATAATTTGTAGGATTTTACTGATCTAGACTTTACTAACTGCTGATTTCTAGCTTAGTTGACTAGTGTTTCCTTTGCTTATAGTCCTGTGGTTTGTTCACCATGGTCCCTGGCAAGCCACACGTGGAGACTCACAGGGACAACCACGAAGTGATCACATGGAAAGCTACGGGAGAGCCACACGTAGGGTTTAAGAAAGAAGCGAGAGAGGGCTTCAGAGCCAAAGTCTGCCAGCCTACCAAATTAGATCGAGAATTGATCTTTCTTTTGTCAGGGGTGGGGAGAAAGGAAGGTTTGTGCTTGGGTTTTATTGTACCCAGAAAGGAAAAAGAGGCAGTAGACTTAGGGAAATGTGTTTTCAACTCGGGCTCCATGGGGAAAGGCAGAGAAGCTACTGGAATCATTTGGAAAGCTCCCATTTCTCTCACTGTGCTAGAAACTATAGAGCTGTAATTTAAGTGACTGCTGCTAGTATCCACAGCAGGGGCAATGTCTAGGAATTGTGTATGCACAGTCACACCTCCTACAATGAGAAGCCTGGGTCTTCCCTTCCAGCTTCTCTAAGGAAAAAGAATTTGGAATCAGTCTCTGTGTCTTCAGTAAAGGGGGCTTTGATGGGGCACCTGGGTGGCTTACTTCATTAAGTGTCTGCCTTTGGCTCAGGTCATGATCCCAGGGTCCTGGGATTGAGCCCCACATCAGGTTCCCTGCTCCGCGGGGAGTCTGCTTCTCCCTCTCCCATTCCCTGCCCCTCACCTTATGCTTTCTGGCTCTCTCTCTGTGTCAAATAAATAAATCCAATATTTAAAGGGGGGGGCTTTTCACTGATTTTTGTCTGATATCATTCCGTAGCCATTTACCTGGATTGTGCCTGGAGTGTTGATGGGAGGAGAGAGAAGGAAATCAGAAAAGGCCAGGTATGGGGACCTTTGTTATCCATTCCTGTTTGGATCTGTCTGTTCTGCTGTCCTATTCAATGAGATTTGGTCCTTCTAAACCTGGAGAAAGCATTTTCTCAAACTGTGCTTCATAGTCCCAGAGCATAGGGACAGATTGAGGCAGCAGGGAGCGGTCACTTCCTGACGGTGTTGTCTTAAGAAAGACTGATGAACCTACAAGGGGTTCTCTTCTGATGTGGTTGGTAGCGATGCTCACTATACTCTTAGGTTCTGCCCCCCACCCCAGCATCCCTTAGTCCCCCCTGTTTGGTGTCCATCCCTCTTGGCAGTTCTCTTTTGTCTGCATTGGGAGTTTAGGGTCTTATTGTTTGGCTCTGCAAAAACAAGATCATAAACTTACATAATGTTCTAAACTTTGCTTTTTATATCCAAAACACTGATTCCTAGTTCTGTATTAGAAGTGGTAATGGGGGTCAGAGAAAATGTTGCAACAGGTAAATCCCAAATTGTATGCTTTTTGAAACATTTTATTGTATCTTTTTTTTTAAAGATTTTATTTGAGAGGGAGAATGAGAGAGAGAGAGAGCATGAGAGGGGGGAGGGTCAGAGGGAGAAGCAGACCTCCCCGCTGAGCAGGGAGCCTGATGTGGGACTCCATCCCGGGACTCCAGGATCATGACCTGAGCCGAAGGCAGTCGCTCAACCAACTGAGCCACCCAGGCGCCCTATTGTATTGTATCTTAATGCTCAGTAGTAACACCCAGTCCTGTGTGTAGTTTGTAATCAGGAGTAAATATTAAACTTGAAACCTAAAGGTATTGGTTAGATTTGATTCAGCTATAAATAACAACAACAAACAACAGTGGCACAAACATATGGCAGTTTTCTTTTTCTTTCACATTTAAGAAGCCTGATGGTAACCCATCCCAGGCTGGCATGGTGCTCTGGTATCAGGATCTAAGTCCCTTCTATCTTTTTGTACCACTAAGTGAGGCTTCCATTTTTAAGGATACTCCATATTCTTAGCGAGTTGTTAGAGCTCCAGCCATTACATCTTGTTCCCTGCCAGCGGGAACAAAGATAATCATACGTTCTCCCTCCAGAGATACTTGTGGTTTCTGCATATTCCCTTGGTCCTTCTATCCCATGCTTGAACATAGGTACACGACCATACTTAAGTTCAAAAGAGGCTAGAAAATATACTCAGCTAAAAATTGGAAGCTTTAATTGCTATGGAAATATGGGGTAAAGGATGTTTGGGAACAAGAACTTAGATTTATTCTCCTTAGTCTGCAGGACAAAGCTGGGCCCCCATTGTATGGAGGTTACAAAAAAGATTCGGTATAAGAAAACCTTCCAGGCGTTAGATCACATTTGTGTGGGATAACTCCTTTAGGTTGGAGGTTCCCTGGCACAGAAACCTTCAAGAACAGGCTAGATGACCGTCTATCTGGAATGTTCTAGAAAGAAAGGATCCATGGATCAGAGAAAGGGCATTGAATTATATAGTGAAGATTCCTTTCAAATTTAAGATTTTATGAATTTAATATAATTTTGGATCTTAATAATTACATTCTATATGGAAGAAACTTTGGAGGAAGTTGGAAACTCAGGTACATCTTTGTACCCATTTGTCATCGCTTTTGTCATGGCTTCACCCTGTGCATGTTGGTACTAGACATGAATCTGTCTCCTGTGCCTATTTCTGGTGTTTTCTATTGATATAGGCCCGTTTGATTTACTTTCTTTTATGATATATAATTTTAAACAGACTCCGCAAAGGAATAAATATCCTTATCTCAACTCCTGGGCGACTGGTGGACCATATAAAATCCACAAAGAACATTCATTTTCGTCGGATACGGTGGCTGATTTTGGATGAAGCAGACAGGTGAGCCTCACCCAGAAGCATGAAAAGCAGCAGAAAAGAGCTGCTTCTGCTGGCTCATTACAGTCTTTACTTTGCACGTGGAGTAAAATTCCCTCTCTTGAAACCACAGAATCTTGGATTTGGGTTTTGAAAAGGATATCACAGTGATACTCAATGCTATAAATGCTGAGTGCCAGAAACGACAGAACGTCTTGCTGTCGGCGACACTCACAGAAGGTGAGTTGAAAAGGAATGCTCTTTGTTCTTAACCAGGAGGGAAGACGCAGATGTAACGGGTGTCATTTGTCCGCAGTGGTTCTTAGCGCTGGGGGCAGAAGCTGAGGAGGCAGGTGTCCCTAAAGCACTGCCTTTTCAGACTCCTGTCTTGCCTCCCTCTTCCAGTCACATCAGGCTCTCCCGTGCTCCCCAGGGTGTGGGACGGAGGGCAGGGCAGATCCAGAACCACCTCAGTTAGGAGAGTGCTTCCGGTGCTTGTGGCCGGGCGAGAGGAAGAGAAGAGGCTGGCTCCCGTCCATCCAGAGGTTTCATGAGGTTTTTTTGTGGGTATCAGCCTGCCTTTCTCTTTAAAGAGCGTTGACCCTTAAATAGAGACCTAAGTTCATTTCTGTCTCTGTCTTCATGAGATGGACATTCTGAGCTCTCTCATAGACGGGGCACTGAGGCTTGGCAGTCACCCTCAACACAACCCAGCTCGCATGTTCTCAGGTCTGGTTTACACGTTTTACCGGCCCTATGACAGTGTGCACATACCAGTTCTCAAAATGAATCCTAAGTAACGTTAATTTTGAGAGATAATCCATGATTCTGTGCTCAGAAGTTTGGGGAATGCCACACGTTTCCTCCTGCTCTTAGAAATTCCTGGTGTGTGTCAGCACAATAAAGGTTCTGAGAAGACCTGTAAACCTGTAAAACCCTATGACAGAATCCTGTGACACCCTTTTATCAGTAGATAGAACTGTAGAACCCTTCCAGGGCGGGGCGGGGGAGACAGCTGTTAGTGTCCCTTTCAGTGGTCTTGCCCAGGTCACAGCTGAGAAATGCTGGTGTGGAATCAGTGGGCCTCCTCCACCAGATCGAGCACAGGGCAGGCCCTTGCGGCCCTGGTGTTGCCCATAGGGAGCCTTTTCATCAGCCTGGACGTGTGGTGTGGGGGGTGCGCGTATGAGACTAACCTCACACTGTGTGCCTGTCACCTGTTTTGCCTCTTTCACTTTTGCTCCAAGGTGTGACACGGCTAGCTGATATCAGCTTGCTCAATCCGGTCAGGATTTCTGTCCTCGATGAACACCGTGGCCAGTCTGACCCAAAGGGCAGAGCAGTTCCTGAGGCCTCCCCTCTCCCAGCTGGTGCTGAGCCGGACAGCTTTGCGATTCCGGAGAGTCTCGATCAGCATGTGACACTGGTTCCCAGCAAACTGAGGCTCGTCTCCCTGGCGGCCTTCATCCTACAGCAGTGCAAGGTGGGCCCACATGTGAGGCCCACACTCGAGGCCCGGCTCAGTCGAGGGAAGAAGGTCCCATTTTCTTTGTGTCATGTGTTGATAGCAGCGAACTGAGGGACCCTCAAAAAGTTTTCCAACTCAACTGTGTTCATGAACGCAGACCTTACCAGTCAGCAGTTCCAGGGTTGTAGTAAAGAACCAGAGGTCAGGGATAGCTGCTACGTTCTACATGAAATCTGCCCTAATCCTCTTCTGGGCCTGAGAACCAGGAGCGTCACAGGTAGCAGAAACATCCTGAATGTGGGCAGACGGAGGGGCCCATGCTCGTGGTTTTGAAAGAATCCCAGTATTTCTGTGTTTACGGGATCGCGTGCTAACTCTCCGTGGTATGTGGGAGAGTAGTGGGTGCAGGGGCTGGAGGGTGAAGCCTCACGTCTGCTGCGTGCACGGCAAGCCCTGGATGTGTGCAGAGAACAGTAGCGCACAGCCCCAGCCTACAGCGTGTGTGTTTGTCTCAGATTTGGGAAACCCGGTCGAAGTTACAGCTCTACCATTTTCCTTTCATCTCCTCTTTGTAGCATGTTGTATCAGGGTTATTTTTGTAAAATCATTCAAAGCTGTCTGTCCCCATTTCCAGATGGGGCTGGCAGGACTGTGTATTTTAGAGAATGACCTCATTTTAGTGTCACCTGATCTTAAAAACGTGGTGGTTCTTTCCCCCCTTTGTACCGATGTAGTTTGAAAAAGACCAGAAGATGATCGTCTTTTTCTCGAGTTGTGAGCTGGTGGAGTTCCACTATCACCTCTTCCTACAGACCCTGCAGAGCCGCTCCGGGGCCCCGGCGTCAGGGCCGCTACCATCTGCCTCCACGCCATTAAAATTCCTGCGGCTGCACGGCAACATGGAGCAGGAGGTGAGCACCGTGCCGGCCCCAGGAGTGGAGGCGGGTGTGTGTCCTCCGGGGTTGGCGCGGCCTTCCCTCTCGGACCCCACTGGGCTGGGTGGGGACGTGCCCCAGGTGGGCGACCTGCTGGCACTGGAAGCAGACCCCATGGCTGCATCAGCGGCGTGGGCAAGGGCGTCTATTGTTTGCATGCGCTCTTGCTCTGGGAGCTGCCCTCTTCCACCTGAGAGAGCTCACAGGCCCGTCTTGGCCCGAGTCTGCCTCAACCAGCTGTTAAGGCAACAGAGTACCACTAAGTAGCTGGCACCAGGGAAGGGTTTTGCCTTTTTAGTACCCAGTGTGTAATTAGGGCTTGATGTCTTCAAATTAAGAGCATTAATGGAGCTAAATTGTGGATCCCATATGGTACTGCTGAGCGCGACTGCTGTCATTGTCAACAAGATACAGCGCTTTCACTCTTAACACCTTGGTTGGGAGAGGGGCTTCAGGGTCTCAGCTCTGTCTCGGCTCTGAGTAGTCCTGTTGTTCTGGAAGAAGAGAAGAGCGTCTCCCTGATTTTAGATTCTGAGCCGCATGGCCCTCATTCCGTTGAGGGGGTCGGCGGAGAGCAGACTGAGGGGATCACGCTGGCGTGGAAGGAGGACGCGCAGGCCCTGCAGGGGGGAGCCATGTTGCCCCAGGCGCGCAAGACGGTGAGGGGGAGACGACCAGGAACGGGAGCAAGACTTGACTGGAAATACACAGCATCTTTGGAGCTGAAGGAGACATTAAAGTCATCAAGTCCAGACCCCTTCTTGTGCCTGCTTTTGTTGTTTTAATAATTAAGAATGTGGAGCCTCAGGAAAGGGAGCTTGCTCAAGGTCACCCAAGGACATTGCTTCTTATTTACCACAAGTTTGGATAGACTTTCCTGAGTAGTCCAGCCTTTGTGCTTGGTTTTCAACTTCAAGGTCCCTGATTCAGTTGAGTTTGTAGATTTTATAATTTAATGCCATTTACAGCGTTTGTTCCTCATCCTCTGGGTCTTTTTCACCTGAGACCTTCTGCAGGGCGGGTGGGAGGGCGACGAGGGAGCTGGACACAGGCCCGGGAGCATCTAGGAATTCGAAGAGGCCATGCAAAAGCTCTGTAGTGAAATTATTTCAAACCGTTTGCCTCACGTTCGAAGGGCAGTGGTCCAGCAGGGCGCTCACGGCTGTCAGCTCTGGTCCTGCCTCTGCCTTTACCGGCTGTGTGACCTCAGGAGAGCATGTCACCTTCCCGTGCCCCAGTTAGCCCGTCTCTCAGAGGGAGGGGATACTGGTACGTACTTCACAGGGTTGGCGTGGTGAGGCACTAAGTGAATGCAGAGTACATGCTCAGCGTAGGACCTGGTTCGTGCGGGTTCTGTGGGTGTAGGTGCTGTTACTACTGTTGTTCTCGCTCTTTCCCGAATGGTCAGTCTGCCACTTGTGTTGTTCTGTTTATTAAGTATTTAGCCTTCATGGCCTTCTCATGAGATGGGTAGAAGGTGGGAGGCAGTACCTCTAGATACCGTTCTACTGGCATTCTCATCCCTTGCTAAGCTAAAACCAGCCCAGTCCCATCCTCCTGGCCGCTGCTCCATGTGACCTTAGTGTGGTCTCCCTGGTGGTTGATGCGGCCCTGACCATGTTTGTGCGTGTTAGGGAGCAGTTGCCATTTGAAGAAGTTGCCGCCTGATTGCTGTGAGGAATGCTCCGGGTTTGGCAGTTTTTTCCTTACTCCAAATCTGAATACGTTACGTCCAGTCCACAGGACATCTCACAGGCTTTTATGAACTTTTCCTGATTTTTTTTTTTTTCCTCATTTTCAGTCTACAATGTATCCATTAAACATGACGCTTCTAAAGACCGTGAAGCACTCTGGGCAAGTGCAGCTGTCCTCCCCGGGGCCTGGCTGCCGGCTCTGGAGCACAGCTCCCTAGGTGCAGGTGCCAGCCCAGTCCTCTGCCGTGTGCACGTCACTTGGGCAAGAAGTGACCTCACCTTTCTGTGCCTCAGCTCCTCCATCTGGAAGTGGGGGTGCTGATAGTACTGCTCCTGGGGTTTTGTGCAGATGAGGCGAAGGTCGGGCCCGCAGAACATAGGCCGTGTGTGCTGGTTGTCATTACCCACCGTGCTCAGTGAGCTGTGCCCAGACCTTCCAGTCACGTGACCAAGGAGATGCACGTGAAGGACCAGAATGAGGTACACCCCAGTGGCGCGATGGCTGTGCCCAAGCGGAAGGAGAGGCGTCACTTTTTCCTTTTTCCCACATGTTTAGTGATTTGGTTGTATTCCTTTTTCTGTTGCTGACAGACAGACACGGCCAAGTCTGAGCCACTCACCGTGCTGTGACTCGGGCCACGTTGAGCATGCCCTTGGCAGGCCTTTCGAGTGGACACCTCCTGTGGTGCAGGAAGACTGCCTTTAGGGTTTTACCCCAAGGGAGTGATGAAACACGTGTGCAACAGATTATCTGTGAAGGTGTTGATCACAGCATTGGGTGTAATAGCAAACAATCGGAGACAACCACAGGTGCCCGTCACGGGGTATTGACTGAGCTGAATGCAGATTTGTTGGCACGAAAGGACCTTCGTATCCTATCGGTACAAGAACATGTTAATAGTAGAAGCAGCGTACTGCTCTTCCTTAAGAAGCCACGTCTTGGGTCACATGCCCAGAAGGGGTTGCCTGTGGTGGGGTTTGTTTGCTTTGAGTGGTGGGACAATTTGGTTTTCTTTCTCTGACTTAAAATATATAACTTTTTCCAGTTGAAATATATGGTTTTATAATTTTTAAGTTTTCTTTAAAATTCATTTTTAAAAAATTGCTCTGTAGGAAAGGTGGTTGTTCTTCATGCCTCTGGACCACCTGTAGAAAAACGTGTTTAGAATAACTTCTGAGTTGGGAACCGGGAGTGCAGTAATTTGTGGCCTGGGGCCTTGCCTGCTCCTGGTATCAGCTGTTCCCAAAGGGTGTGCCCCCCCAGCCCTGTCTTACTGAGATGTGCTGCCCCCAACACTCCACTACTTTGTTACAGTCAGAGAAGTCTAGTCCCAGAAGGACAGGGTCTGATGGGAAGATGGGAAGGATCTACTTCTTCCTCTTTCTTGGTAAAGCCTCTCAGTGCCTAGAAGTAGACCTAGCAGTAGGAAACAGGGGAGTTATGGGAATCTAAGTCTACTGTGCTGGGACTGACCTCGGAGTCGTAAGGCCGTGTTTTTCCTTGTTTTTGTAGGAAAGAACAGCAGTGTTTCAAGAATTCTCACATTCCAAGACAGGCGTCCTTCTTTGTACGGTATGTACCCCTCTGCACTCCACGGGGAGGCCAGGACCCCCTGCCTTTCCTCTTGCCAGGTTGCCTCGCAGCCAGCCCCACAGGGAGCTGGGCTAGCAGGGACTTCTGGGTGTGGCGGGTCGCCTTGCACTTCTGGTGTGTCACCTGACTGTGCCACCACGCAGAAGTCATGCCAATTTGCTCACTAATAGTGGCAGCTGTTGGTCTGAAAATGTGTGAATCTGGGCGATTTCTATCCACCAAAAACGTGTAAATTACAGCTATCGGGAGTAATTAGAGCTGAGAAAGTCTCTTCGCAACAGAACCACTCTCCTTGCCTCTGCTCGCCTTTTTTAAAAGGAATATAGATGTGCTTGGACAGATTTTCTTTGCTGTTGTCTAAAACTGTTATTTGCCCTGCAGTTTCTGGGACCAGGTCATTCAGCCTTGAGTCCTGGCGGGCTCGCACAGCCGCCGCCTGCAGCGCAGAGCTGGCCTCTTGGATGCGCCTCTTGTGTGCTCTTTTGAGATTGAAAACTCACACCTTCGGTGCCCTCTTCTCTGGGGATTCACTTCACCATGGTTGTCGCCAGCTCCCAGGATTAAAGTATCTTGCCCTCTTGTGCCATCTTGGGTGGTGTGACTGAACCCTCACCTGGGTGTCTGAGAAATCCCGGTCCATGCAGTCCTGAAGTTGCACTGAAACCGGTTCAGCCAGTGGGCGAGCGCCGGGCAGAACAGACTGTTGGCTGTTGTCTAGGCCTCGCTTTTTCGTGCAGTTACCTTTTTTTTTTTTTTTTTTTTAAGATTTTGTTTATCTGACAGAGGGAGAGAAAGAGCACAAGCAGGGGGAGTGACAGCAGAGGCAGAGGGAGAAGCAGGCTCCCTGCAAAGCAGGGGGAGCCTGATGCAGGACTCAATCCCAGGACCCTGGAATCATGACCTGAGCCAAAGGCAGACGGTTAACCAACTGAGCCACCCAGGCGCCCATGCAGTTATATTTTAAGGAACCCCTGCTCTGCATTCAGTTTTCAAGGTAACAGGCATTGTCCTCTTCCCAAACGCAGGGTTTATGAGTGAGTACGGCTTTGTTTCTTCTGCACGAGGCGGCTGCCCAGTCACCCATTTATCACAGGGTGCCAGTTCTCACACGAGTGTGGCAAACCGTGGCTCTGTGACTCGGTCGTGCAGATCTGTGGTCACTCCTGGCATGCCTGCCTCCTGAGGAAGACCAGGTCTGACCAGTGGCCCTACCCTTTGTGAAGCCCATCCGCAAATCAGACACTTGTGTTTGCGCTCAACCACCTGTAAAGGCCGGTTCTACAGTGAAGATGAGTCCAGATCTACTTGACAAAGAAATTTGTCAACAGTCCTAATTGTGTCTAATAATACTTGCTGGATCCTGACCCCTTCCTGTCTCCTTTGTCTCCGTTTTCCCCCCTTGTTCCCTGCCCTCAACCAGACAGGCTCCTCTTCCTGCTCCCTGAATGCAGCATCCCTCCTTTTTCTGGCCTTGGGGACCTCGTACGTGCATTCCCTCTGCCTGGGAAGCCCGCCCTGACTTGGACTAGCCCCTCCTTAGGCCTCCACTTCAATTTTAGTTTTTCAGGAAAGTGAACTCCGGGAACCCCAGTTTTTCCCCATTAGGCACTCCCACTGCACCCTGCGCTTCTTTATGGCACTCATCACACCTGGTCTTAGGTGTCGTCCCCCCAAGATCATGAGCCCCTAGAGATGGACTGTGTCTTACCTGCAGTCCCCGGTCAGTGGCTGGCGCGGAGCAGGTGTGCATACACACTCAGTATTTGTGGACCGAACAGGTGGATAGTTGGGGCTCAAGAAACACAGCGTTGAACACCAGCACTATCTCCCTGCCTTTTTCTGAAGACTGAGAGAGGCTAAAGTTATGCTTGCTCATGGGAGTAAGTCGTCTTTTTCATACACACGATGTACCTGAGGGGTGAATGTTACGGGTTGTCCGTATCGAAACGGGAACAGTAGGAACCTTTGTGTGGGAGTTTAAGACAGGAACAAAATGTTTTATCTTTGACCTTTAAGATGTTGGGTTTGTCCCTGGTGGAAAATTTTCAAGTCTCCTGGTGTTTTTTACAGACATGGGTCAGCTCTGGGTCTCAAAGAGGACTCCAGGGATTTGAAGTTCAGTGTTTTGGTTGGTTTTGGTTTTGGTCTTTTTGGTAGGTTTACATGCGAGTAAAGGTCATTCTTTTTTAAAGTAATTCGCAATGGGGTCAGAAGCCTATGACAGCTTTCCTTGTTTCGACTGGCTGATATCTGCAGACAAAGTGAGTTCAGCCAGACAAAGAGCGCCCCTGACTTGGCAGAGAACAGCACCCCCACCCCTCTGTCCCCTGCCAGTCCCGAGTGCCGCACAGAAAGCTGACTCTCACTTGCTGGCAATCTGATTTCACTAAAGGTTCTTGGTGTGTGTTTGTTTGCTTGTTGAGGAACCTTCCAGTATGCTGACCTGACAGCCCAGCCTCACCTCTTCTTCATTGTGTGGTGAAGATTACTAGGGAAGGGCTAGGGGGTGGAGGGGCTCACTTCCAGCCATCTCTAAGCCCGGCTTCGAGCACATGGTCTCTGGTGATGAGGAGCTCTTCCTTCACCCTTTCCCAATTCCTGCTAACTCTGCCATGTTCATTTGCTTCAGCCTGAAGCTTCTGGTGCCCGAGAGCTGTAGGCACAGGAGACCTGCTGCAGTAGATCATGGCTAGGTTGGGGAGGTGCTGTCACTTTGTGTCCTTTTAAGCAGCCTGTTGCTTGCCAGGCCCTCTGCATGCTCTCCAGGAGCCTCTGTCGTGTTAATGAGGAACGGGGACCGCGTCAGGACAAGGCAGATGGAGAACCGGCTTCTTTCGGTAAAGAGGAATCGTGTTGTTAATTGTGGCAGGGGGATTTTCCCTCCCCTTTATACCATACTTTTTGCCATTTTGATTTCTCATCCCAGGATCTTTTAACGAGCTCAGGAGACTGAACGTCTGTGTGAGAAGTTGGGAACTGTGGTGGAACCAGTCAGAAACTCCCAGTGCTGCTAGTTACTTTGAAAATCCCTCCCCCGATCCATTTTCCTCCCTGCCGACATTTCTGCTATTAGGAGCAGTTAAGGGTGTGGGTGTGTGTGTGTGTGTTTTCTTTCTTTCAGCTTAATTATGAACATCTTAAAGCAAGGACCTTTCTAATTTTATGCAGCCTTTCAGGACCTGGTACATGACTTTGTGTACTGTGGGTTCTCAGTAACTGTGTGAGGCCATGCCAGCGTAAAGCGTAGGCAGAAGTGAGAGGCCAGGCTGGGCAGGAGAGACCAGTTTGTGAAAGAGCGGTCCTTGCACATTCGAAATATAAGTTTGTGTGCTCCAGAGAAGTAGATCGAAGAAGCAGCCAAGTCAAGAAGGGAGTAGGGATTAGCAGGAAGGAGCCTTTTGAAAGTTCAAAACCCACTTTCCTAAATGGAATAAAGAAATCAAAGGAATCAGGAGATACTGGGTTACGTACAAAATATTTCCTCCTGCTTCTGGTGAAGAACTCGCCTTCAGCCAAAGGAGGGGAAGGTGGGTTTCAACACCATTGTTACGTGGATGAGTTGGTAGAGGGAAGTACCACGGAGTGACTGGAAAATGATACTCCTGAGCCACCTCCAGTCGTAAGGCTGACACTGGGCTTTCTCACGTACATGCGGCGCTCCCTGCTTGTCCCTGGATAAACAGAGCGCGGTAACCTTTCTCCCGGCACGGAGGGCCACTCCCAGCTCCCCTTGGTCTGCTGGCTGGTTCTCCGTTGGACTGCGTCTTGGTTGGCCATCCAGCACAGGCTTTCTTTTAGAAGACACCTGAATCACCTGTGCTGTTTTCCTCCACCTTCTCAATTTTTTTTTTTTTTTTGTCTTGAAGCACACTGTTATGTCTGTGCAGTTCTTAATTTCCCTCCTCCTGGGGAATTTCCACTGTGCCAGGAGGCTGGGAGACAAAGGAGGCCAGGGGGTGAGACCGTGAGAGTCACAGGAATGTCAGTTCACCACTGACAATAAATGTAGACTTTGTTGGTTTTCTCTGGGGCATGCTTTTGAGGTAAAGTTTCTCTTTTCCACTTTATTTCATTCGTGTTAATGGCAAGACCATTTGGAGATGGTCGGCTGTTTACTCAGTTACGCTAACTCATGTTGCCAGTTTTTTGGCGGCTCCAGCCAAGATCTCTCGCCTCTGACAGCTTCTGCACTCTCTCCTTCCTCCTCTGATTACGCAGCCCAATCTGTCACCCGGACAACGGGGGCCTGTACCCCGCTGATGGCTTTCCACACACGGCAATAATGACTTTTGGCAGGCCGGGGAGGCAGCAGAGGCGAATTTGCTGCGTCCCTTGCTCAGAGAGCCGGCAGGCCCCCTCTCCCTGTTAGTAAAAGCACTTTGTGAGGTTCTTGGGTAAATAAATGAGTCATTTTAATCCAACTGACAGGCTGGCACCTGAGCAAGCTGCCTTCCATCTGTACTCCTTGGTCTCATGGAGGCAGCCAATTGTCAAGCCCTGGGCCTTCAAGGCCTCACTGTTGAGTGTCTTTCAGAACTGACTTTAGCAATTCTTTTGCCCTAATTAGCTCAAAGGAATACAGTTGGGCTGGGTCTAAGTTCTAAGAGGGCAGAAAACCAAAGCCTTTGCTGAGTCTTGGGCAGGTCAGTTTCCTGTCGATCCCGTGCCACTGGCTGGTGGCGTTCTGGAGGATGGAGCAGACCCTGGCTTCTCGGCAGTCCTCTGCCCCGGTTGGGTGGTGGGTGTGAGGAGACTCACAGACCACTGCCTAATCGCCACCGTGCTGCTGATTCCTGCTTCATCATGGAAGGAAATCCTTGGATTTGTAATTCTCAGTGCACTTCCACATGCATAGTCTTGTTTGGTCTTCACAGCAACCTCATGAGATAAATAGGATGAATCTTATAGCCATCGTATAAGTGGGTAAACTGAGGGTCAGGGAGGTGCGTTGACTTGCCCGGATGGTATGGCTGTAGAGGGATGGTGGAGTCCAGTTCTCTGTTCCTAGACCCTGAAGGTTATCCCTTTGTCTCATTCTCTGTGGTAGCCTAGGCTGAGAATAGGAAGGAGGACTTGCAGAAATGGCCGGGTGAAGCCTGAGCAGGGCTGGCTGTCAGTGAGGGTCCCCCACCCCAAGACAAAAAGTGGTGGGAGATGGGAAGATGGCGTCTCGGCCAGTCCCCCAGACCCAGATCACCCAAGCAGAAAATAGAACTGCGAACGGTCCCATGAAGGCTGCTGGCATTTTTCCTTACTGTGGCTGAAAGTGTGCTCAGTGAGTTCCACGAACGTCATATGCTATTTTAGAGTTTCATCTGTGTTTCTTGGTTGAATTTACTAAACCGATGAGCATTAAATTTTTTACAAAGCCTGTCTGTAAAGCTCAGACAGCCCATTGTCTACATGCATCTCCCACTGCAGAGCACTTAAATAAAATAAATCACTTCTTAACAAGAGCTTAGCGGATTTAAGAACCCGTCAGTTTTTCTAAAGACATCAGCTGTGGTTAGTGTAGAAAGCAGTGCCTGCTCCCCTTTAAGATAGAGAACTCTCTAAATTGTGTTCTCAAAGGCATCAGCTCTGGAACATCAACCTTCAGTTTTCCGGGCAGTGGGAGCTGTCTGAAAACACTTCGTGGGTGGTTGACACACGTAGTACATTAAACTCCCACTTAATACTTAATAAATGTAGCCTAGCCACCATTCAGAGGAAACCTGCCAGCTCAGGTGTAGTCAGAGCGAAGGCAGACAAATCCCAGCTTGCCCTCAGTGGCCCCTCCCAGTGGGTTAGATGCCGGCGGGCCAGTGTCCTCCTTGGCTCCCGCCCCTGACACCGGGCAACACAGGGCGCGGGCATCTCAGCGTGCTTCCTGCAGAGACTTTGCGCAGGGTTATTGTTCTCCGGGAAAGCTCTCTGCATGCAAAGTAAGGGGAGAGAAAGGCGAGCTGTGCTTTACAGAAAAATGCCAACTATTAAATGGAAGAAGGGTATGACAGACTTCGGAAGCCATCCGCTTGCTGCCACCAGGGCAACCGTTGGTGCAGACGGGCAGCGTCAGGCGACACTAAGGCCTCTGGGCAAAAGGTTTTGGGAAACCGTCTCAAAGTTTCCCTCCCCAGTTTACTGATTAGTTACAAAGGAGAAGGGTCCCTTCACCTGGATGCCGCTTCCTCGGGGGATTGTGCACAGCTCCCCCCAGTGCGGGACAGGCTGCGCTCGGGCTCTCCTGGCGTCAGGTACTGGGAAGCACACGCACCAGAAAGCTCCACCAGAATCTTACCACGAGGACACAGACAAACACAAGATTCTGGGGCGTCCTTCAAGATGCCTGGACTCCTTCACAATTGAGTTGTCAAAAAACTAAATAAATATTAAGGGCAGGGATATCATTCTAGATTATGGAAGTCTAGAGGGAGATAATAAAAACAGAATGCATGATCTGTGAGTCATTCCTGAGTTGGGCAATAAAAACATCTATAAAAGTCAATCTTGGGTGCAGTTGGAGAAATTTGAATATGAGATGATTATTTGAAAATAATATTATTTGGGGCGCCTGGGTGCCTCAGTCGGTGAAACGTCTGCCTTCGGCTCAGGTCATGATCCCGGGGTCCTGGGATCGAGCCCTGCATCGGGCTCCCTGCTCAGTGGGGAGTCTGCTTCTCCCTCTCCCTCTGCCTACAGCTCCCCCTACATGCGCACACACATGCGTGCGTGCTCTGTCAAATAAATAAAATCTTTTTTAAAAACTTATTTAATATTAAATTTCGTAGGTATGATGCTGGTACTGTGTTTGTGAGGAAGAATGTCCTTTTACTTAGAGACATGCTAAAGTAGGAATAAAACGTTATGGTATTTGCAGCTTTCAGATGGCTCAGAAAATGTGTAGAGAGAAAAAAAGCAGATGTGCAAAGATTAGCGGTTGATGAATCTAGGTGAAGGATACACGAGTGCTCATTGTACTATTGTTCCAGCTTTTCTGTTTAAATTTTTCTAGATAAAAATTTGGGAGGAAATACTAGGCATTCATTGAGAGAAAAAGCAAACAATAGAGGAAAACCCAAAGAGAAACATAAACATCACCCCAGCCCCTCGCCCCGAAGATAACCACAGGTGATAGTTCTGGTGAGCCTCCTTCCAGGCGTAGGCTCCCTGGCAGTCTCTCCGTTCCTCTCTCCATTTATCCATCTACCCATTTCATGTCTCATTTTTGGTACCCTCTTTTTTTTTCCTTGGAATTTTTTCTGGAAGGAACCAGACTGTCCATGCTTTAGAATACTCCACATTCAGGATTTGACTTCTTTGGTTGGGCCAACGTGCTCCTCCCTCCCCTGCACTTCCTGTAAACTAGGAGTTGGGGCTACATACCTGGTTAGGTTTGCTTTTGTTTTTGGCAAGAATACACCACAGGTGACACTCCGTGCTTCCTGTGGCGTGACAGCTCGTCTTTCTAGTTATGTCAAAACATTTACGTTGTTTCACAGTCAAGATTATCAAAGTCCCTTCAAGGAAGTCCGGCTTCCACCCTTGTCTGCCACCCCCAATCCCTTCCCCTGCAGGTCACTTTTGTGAGCTTTTGGCTTTTCTCCTCCGTTATTTCTTTTTGAAATATGAGCAGATATATTTGTATTTCCCTCACTTCTCACACAAAAGCCTACTCTGCACACCCAGAACAGATCGTAGAGGTTCTCCGTGTCTGCACACTGGCACCTCCCTCCTGTCTCAGCTGTATGACATTCTGCTGCGGGGGGTCAGTACAGCTGTCTTTTAGTCCACCTGTCTCCTGCCAGACACTGGGGCTTTTTCTACACCTGCAATTACAGACTTTGCTGAAATGAGTAGCTTTGTGCATGCAGCATGTTGTATTTTTTGCCAGTGTGTCTTTGGGATGGATTTCTAGGAGTGAGATTGCATCTGGGTCAGAGGGCAAGTGCATATGTAATTTTGCTGCATACCACCAAATTTCCTACTGTAGGGTTTTATACTATTTTGCATTCCCACCAGCAGCTTATGAGGGATGCAGCCTCTTTTTTGATGGTGGAACAGCATAATATGGCCTTGGAAAAGTAAAATGGACCTGGATTTGAGGGCTGCCTCTACTTCTTAGCTATGTGTCTCTGGACAGGTTACCTAATCTGTCCGAACCTTGGTTTTCTGTCCATCAAATGGGAGTGATTGTTGTTCTGTGGAGCTATTTGGAAGATCACTCGAGATAATGCAGGTGAAGTGGTGCAGTGTCTGGTGTATAGTAAGTGCTCAGGAAATGTTGACTGGGGATATTCCCATTATGACTGTCGTGCTTGAACACAAATGCCCAGCGTCAATTTATCCCCGACAGCCGAAAGGTACCCATTCTCTAGTCCCTGCCAGAATGGTCAGACAGACACTAGAGAGCAGAGAGCCTTTGCTTTTTGGGTGGCAACCAGCTGAAAAGAAAAAATGTATCTCCTTTGCTTTTACAGTTTTTATGTCTGGTTGATTAAATCTCTGGCTGGTGGTGTAATTTAACTGTCAGAAGAGGTGGGACATTACTTGGTCTTTACAGCTATCTGAGGTTGATAAGTCCTCTGTAAAGACTTTGCACCTCACTTCCACAAGGGAATACTTTGGGGTGATCTTCCAGACACACGTCTCAAAGCCATGTCACTGTTAGGCATTGCTGATAGGGAAGGGGTGGGGGTAATAACCCACGAATGCATTGATCATAGAGTGGTCCTTCAGAGAAAATGTAAAAGTAATAATACATGCTAGAAATTTTCATAGTTCTTACATGACGCAACTGATAATGACTTCAGTTCTTGGGCTAACAGTTTATGTTCTAGTAGAGTGGGTGGTTGACTGCCTCACCAACATGTTCTGCAGAACTTACCCCAAGTTAGAATTTTCAAGCACAGATGGACTTCAGTGGGTCCCTGAAGTTGTATGCCGGTGCGTGCATGTGCGCATGTGCACGTGTACCTGCCTATGCACACTGGGGGGTGGTGAGCCCTCGTAGTTTGCATTAGATTATCAGATGGATCCATGGCCCAAAAAAGGTTCAGAAACTCAGTCTTAAGCCATATTCTTTTCTGTTTTGAAGGATGTTGCAGCTCGGGGCTTAGATCTCCCTCAAGTCACATGGATTGTTCAGGTAATTTTTTAGTTGTTAAGGTGTGAGCTCCACGCAGGAATATATGACTGTGAGTAGATGTGTTGGCTTTAAGTGGAATAATTATTATTAGCCTCTTGGGTGTTGCCCTGGTAACCAGGCAGCAACCAGCCTTATCTGCACAATTCTCCTGGTATCTTTCCCTAACCCAGCCCACCTAGCTGCTGCAGGGAAACAGCCAGGCTGAGCAGTCGTGGGAGGGAGGGGCAGGCTCCCCTGCTCCCAGACAAATGCATGTCACACACAAAGTTTCAGCAATCTGAAAATAACAGGAATTACCAGGGCCCTTGGGAGGTCTCATTGTGTCCAGAAGGAGATGGCTCAGCTGTCCCGAGAGCCGTGTCCGTGTACAATGACCTGCAGGGGGCAATTAAGTCCCTGACAGCATCTTACACATACCTCTAGCCTTAGACGCTTTGCCAGAGGGTACAGGTGTTAGCACTAGAGTCTGGTGGTTTCAGTTTTGTTTTTTCTTTTCGTTAGTCTGCAGAATGGTAGTTTTAAGCCCTTCTGTGTGAGGGCCAGGGGACACGTGCCCCATTTACGTGAGTCATGGTTTATTCACATTTTAGTGGAATTGCATGCCTGTCAGTGGCTAGGAAATTTGATCTGCTCGCTGCAGAAGGCCACTTTTCGACTAAAGGCATTGAGTCTTCTTTCCTGATGGCCACGGAGCAAAGTAAAGATAAAAAGGCAGGATAATTTTAATATGGGGGGCGGGGGCAGACACATAAAACTGGTTGTTCAGAGCTTTTCTGTATCATCAGATTGATTAGATTCATGTGCCTGCCCCTCCCCTATACATTCTATTCCTTTTGGGCCTCTGATCTTTGAGTCGTGTAGCAGCAAAGAACAAAAAGGAAGAATGGTCAATTCCTTTTCATGGTGACGAAGTTATTGCCGTAGAGAATATGAAATAATGCATTCTGCTGAGTTAGAGTCTGCCTTTTCCCTCGAGTCAGGAATGCTGGCCTTGGGAGCAGAAGCAAGTCCCTGTGGGAGGGGAACCAGCCTCTCAGCTGCCCCACAGCTCTGTGCCGTTGGGATTGAGTGGGAGTGCAGTGAGGTGCTGGGGACCAGCTCTCGGCGGCCTGGCAGCAGAGTGAAGTCTGATCAGAGCAGCCGGCCCCTTCCTCCTGACCCCGTCCAGTCCTCTGTGCCCTCCGCCTCACTGCTGTGTCTGCCACGGAAGCAGGCCACGCTCACGCAGCCATCCTACAGAAGGGTGCCCCTGTCTGCCTCCAGCTTAACCTTGCACGGTCACTGCGGTGAAAAGATGCAGATAGGAAAATGAAGAGACCTGTGGAGAAGTAAAATTACAAAGGAGGTACTGGGACGGGAAGGCGGCTCACTCATAGGAAACTTGGCCGCTGTTCATGTTTGTGTGTCAGAGCTTCGTTATTTCCAACTTCAGGGTTGAGCGACTTCTCCTTGGGATTGTGTGAGGGTAACCATAGCACCAGGTTTTAATTCTTGGGATACCTGGAGGCAGGTGAGGGGTATTGCACTTCCAATTAATGGCAATCCGTTGATCTGTGGATGCTTCATTTTTGTTACCCTTTGTAGTACAATGCGCCACCTTCACCTGCTGAATACATCCACCGGATCGGGAGAACCGCCCGGATTGGCTGCCATGGGAGCAGCCTGCTCATTTTGGCTCCTTCGGAGGCAGAATATGTCAACTCGCTGGCTTCTCACAAAATCAAGTGAGTCAGAAACCTGAACAGGGTTTCGCCCGATCTCACCTAATTAACTTTCTGTCGCCTTCTACAGTGGATGGGCCTTGTAAGCTGACGAAGAGCCATTAACCCTTGTGATCCCTAAATGAGTCCCAGAATAGCCAGTGGCAAACACTAAAACCCTTCGTGCCGTCAGCACATGACAATTTTCATTGCGTTGCCAGACTTAAGTCATGGAACGATCTGTTGCTCGTGGTTTTTCTGTAAGATAGAGGTCTGTATTTCATTTTCCTTTCTGTCAGAGATGTGTGCACAGCCGGCTCACAGCCGGCTGCTTGAAGACCTTTTTTATTCAGTTTTTATTTTTACACACTCAACATTTTGTATCTTTAAAGATGATTTGTCTTTGAAAAAAATAATATTTTTGATGCATTACACAGCACCCCCTCCCCCAGGAAAATAAACCCAGGGAAGAAACCTTTTCGGGGCAGCCGGGGCTGTGCGGCCACCAGCTCGCGTGCCCACCACCCTGAGCGAGGCCCCCGCTCCAGCCCTGGCCCCCCAGCTCAACGACTGCGGGCCAGAGCAGCGGGGGCCTCCAGGGGGCCCGGACCTCGCCCAGGAAGGACAAGTGAAGCAGAGACGGAGAAAAGCGTCTCAAGCTGGCCTGGAGCAAATGTAATGGAAGCAGGAAGAACTCACCTGGGTCACAGAAATGAATGTTTTGTAATGTTTTCCATATAAGCTCCAGCAGCTGAGGTAACAGGCGCTAATAACGGGCTGCTGAAGGCATGTGATTTTTCACACTGGTCTACTTGCAAGAATTTCTTCTGCTCAGACATAGCACAGTGATACGGAAAGTGTTTTTTGAGGCACGGAAGAGTCCTGTGTGTGCCCAGGAGGGTGGGACAGGAATCCTTCCGCGCATGGGAGCCTGGAGGGCCGCCCTGCTGCTTGGAGCTGACACTGTGAGGCTGGCACATGACTCCGCTGCGCACCTGCGCCCGAGGGCCTCGTCTGCCGGTGCTTTGCCTTGCCCAGCCCGGTGGTTTATGTAAAGCATCAAAGAAAGTGATGAGACATTTTCTCTAAAGTATAGAGCTGGCAGAATCATTGCATTCTGCACCTGCACTGACATTTCCAAACAGGTGGTGTGGGACCTGGTCTGGGGACCAAGTGCAGGCCACCCATACGAGAGCTGCCTGTGACCGTCCCCATCAGCCCGCCATTGTTCCCACCTGCAGAGCCTCTCCCTCCTTCCCTGCACCCGGGGCGGACTTTGCAGCACTCAGCAGTTTCGGGGTTGCTCGTGGGAACATCTGTGGGCCGGGGATTCCTCAGATGATGTGCCTCTGTACACCCTTCAGTGGTAGGGAGGCAGGACCCCACTCCTGATGAACCTGGTGGCGATTTTGAGTGGGCCCAACTAATGCTGGTTTGGGTTTTCCTGTCATTTAATATCTTCGAACAACATCACCATTAAAAGAGTGGTTTCTATTGGTTTCAGGAAGACTGCATATTTTATCTCACTTGTAAGAGGAATTCTGGCCCTCAGTTGGTCAATCCCCTTTCACCAAGAGCTTCCCCTCCAGCTGGTTTCCCCAGGCCCTGGGGCTGGCTGGTCCTTCTTACGGGCGCTTTCAGGGCCTAGGCTGGCGCTCGCACGATTGGGCACCTGGATCCAACGATAGCCCTCGTAACCCCTTCTCCCATCTTCCCTTCCGCCGTCCTCACAGGCCGGGAGCCTGTCACGGCGCTGTGACTGTTCTCCTCTGGCACGGGAACTTGGAGACCTCCAGAAAGTGTTTTCAGAGCTGGCTGTTGTCATCTACGGGAGAACAGGTTCTTGTCCTTGGCGGCCTCGTACCCCTCGGCTGTCTCTCCCCCACCTTCTCTTCTAGACCTACACATTCATGTTCTCTGGGCCTTCCTGTCAGCAGCTCCTGGGGGTTCTCCCGTGCTCATTTGCTTGGACCCGACAAGCTCAGAAAAGTGGGTACCCGTGGTCGTGAGGTCAGGCGATAATTGGCCATACCCCAAAGTCATGTGCCCAGATGCCTCTGCCTCTCTCCTGCTCTCAAGCTTTCTTTAATAAACGCATTCAGGTGATGGCTATGAAAGGTTCAAATGTAAACCTAAACTCAGGGGAAAATAATAGTTGGCCCCAACCTGAATTATTAGCGAGCCACATGTATTTTAAAGATACAAGAAGTACACTCGTTGTCTGTGATGGTCTCCTCTGGAAAACACTGCCAGCACTATTTGTGGGCAAGCCAACACAACCAAGTGCACATTCGGGGACAGCTCCATGATCCAGGGATTCTCAGGGTTTGGACTTGCAGGGGGGGGTTCAGAAGTACGAAGACAGAAGTACCCAGAGGAGGAGAGTGAGGTCTTTTGTGGAGAGAACATCCATTCAAGAGGGAAAGAGGCCTGGAGGGGTCCAGCCTCGCTCGTTTTCTGCCCTGAAAACGTACCCACTGAACTTTGTGCCCCTGATCCACTGACTGCTTTGTGGGCCTGATGTAATCAGTACCCCCCCCCCCACCGCCCTGAAATACCAGATCAACGTTATGTTGTAGCCTTGGATCATGCTTTCTGATTTCTGAGGAAGGGCTGGATGTTGGGTATCTTGACTTAACACCAAAATATGATACCTAAGAAGACCTGATTACAAAGTGTGCCGTGGAAAGAAGCTGACTTGAACATTTTTGGAATACAAAAGGTACACTGCTAAATAGTAAACAAAACAAAACCAGAAGGGTGGGTGGGTGGGTGGGTGTGTGTGTGGATGTGTGTGTGTGGATGTGTGTGTGTGTGTGTG